TCACCATGTCACCAGGTTATTTAACTTTTCTGAAAAAATGAGACAACATGACATTTTGACAACATTAGAGGATGGCAGTTATGAATTATTTTTGAAGAACTGAAGGTGTCACCATGTCACCATGTCACCAGGTTATTTAACTTTTCTGAAAAAATGAGACAACATGACATTTTGACAACATTAGAGGATGGCAGTTATGAATTATTTTTGAAGAACTGAAGGTGTCACCATGTCACCATGTCACCAGGTTATTTAACTTTTCTGAAAAAATGAGACAACATGACATTTTGACAACATTAGAGGATGGCAGTTATGAATTATTTTTGAAGAACTGAAGGTGTCACCATGTCACCATGTCACCAGGTTATTTAACTTTTCTGAAAAAATGAGACAACATGACATTTTGACAACATTAGAGGATGGCAGTTATGAATTATTTTTGAAGAACTGAAGGTGTCACCATGTCACCATGTCACCAGGTTATTTAACTTTTCTGAAAAAATGAGACAACATGACATTTTGACAACATTAGAGGATTAATGCAAAAATAAATTCCAATCATACTTTATAAAGCATCATTTACAGGTATTTCATCGTCAGTAAATGAATCCTCATTATCCTTTGGTTCAACCTGTTTATATAATCCTTTCATTTCTTCTTTCAAAACATAACACCATGTTTGTTTATCGTCTATTCTTCTCTGTTTCCTATCACATTTATCCTTAATGCTCATTTGGAAATTCTTGTCTTTCATGTCTGATGGTTTGCAGAATAGAGCATTTTTACATATCATACCTGCACACAATTCATCATAATGTGTATTTATCCATACATCTAAAGGATTTGTTGATAATTCTATTAAATCTTGTTTGGCTTCAGTCATCGGTATGATTCGTACATTAAATGATGAAAGGTCATATTGCATAAAATATGTTAGTAAATTATCATAAAATTCCTTTGTGCATGAATCCATTAAATTCTTGAAGTAATCAAATTGACCCTTGAATTTACCATTAACTCTTAAAACTACGTATCTTCTGTCTCCAACTTCAATTTTGACAGGGTAGACGTTATTAGTTACGAAAATGAAGTTTGCAACGTTCTGAGCAGTTCTTCTGGGTTGATTCTTTTCATTAATTCTAATCTCATTATCCGTTATAATTGATTTCAAAGCGTTGAAGTTTGCGAGTCTGTCTTCACCAACATTCTTGAGTTCATTAAGTACAAGAAACATTTTATTTTCAACTACTGAATTGAAATTACCCGTTAGCTCACCTATTTCAGTAATGTTTTTACATGAATAACCAGCGAGAAGTTCAGAAATAATGTCTGTGAATCTGTTTTTACCTGTTCCCTGAAGTCCTTTCAAAATAATTGCTGTTTCATTCTTGATTCCAGGATGTTGAATCATTGATGCAATCCAGCCGAGAAGGTATTTATACACTTCATCGTTATTATCGCATATGGCTTCTTTAATGAAATCCATAAACATCTCAATTTTTGAGTAATCAGGCTTTTCGAGAACGTTGTATTTATAACCTTGAAACGTTGAGAAAACATCTGGGGAATCAGATTTAAAGCAAACACCCTTAACGGTTAATGAGGATAATTGATTTAGTAGTACGTCCCATGCTGTTATTGTTTTACCTTCTTCTTTAAATAATTTAATCATTTTGAGTGACTCTTTCATGTTTGACTGAAGAACGAATGATATTTGATTCATTTTGTCGTGTATGTTGTAATCTTTCTGAATGAAGTATTTATTTCCACAATCTACAAAACGGATTACACGTGATAAATCCTCAATTACTTCAGAACTGTTTTTATACTGATGATTTTCAGCCCTGCGTCTAATATCTGTTATCAAAAACGAGTCATCAAGTTTTATATCAAATGTTATTTTTGGCTTACGTAATAAAGGTAAAACATATTCATCATAATATTCCTTTTGATAAAGTTTTAGAATCTTCACTAAAACAAATGGTGAAGTCATTAAATGTGCATATCTACTACGTGCTTTTTCAAAATTACTTTGTGCATTTTCAGTTAAAATGCATCGAAATCTGTTAGAAATTACTGGATTACAAACTCAATTATGACAAACATTGATGAATATTGATTTTGGGGAACTGAATTTCAGAAAATGATACTACCAAGAGCGCTCACTCTTGGAACTTTATTTTATTCAAATAACATTTTTTGTTTGAAGCCATTCAAATCATATATTTTGCAAATTTTTGCATATTCATTATGTATATTAATATCATTCTTAATTTATGCTATTCAAACAACAAGTGACCGAAGAATTTGTATGTTCTTGGTACATTGTGTATCACTTCTATATTATTTATATGAGTTTCTGATACACAAAACTGATATTCCAATAAATTATAAAATTGGAATGAATTTAGACGGTTATTATACATACTTTTTCAACTCGGGATACAAAACATATTTAATATCAATGTGTTCAATCAAAGCATGTTTAGCTTTCAATAATATAATTGGGATTTTTAGTTTTTCATACCAAATCAAGTATTTTATATCAGAGATTCCATTTTATTTAATCTGGATTACGAATACATTTTCTTTTTTGCATTACAATTTCGAGTTAATTGATATAGTGAATTCAAGAGTGGAAACAAAAATTCTTCAACGACTGTTATATGAAATTCAAAAATGTAAGAAGAAAGTAAATAAATGCAAATATTCACCTAAAGAAGAAGCAAATCTAAATAACTTAGTTAAACAAATTACTGAAAAAATTCCAAAATTGACCGATATGATTACTATTATTCAGGCGGATATAGACATGATTCATTATGCAAATCTAGATCTGTTACAACAACAAAGCTGAAATTAATGAAATATAAAAGCTTTATATATTGATTCCTTCATGTTTATTTTGAATTAAGTATTGAAATAAATGCATTAACTTTTTTTTCTAATATATTTGTATTTACAGTTCTTTTAATGGCATTAAAAAGTATAATATATACAGATTAGGGCTGTACAAAATCGAGAAAAACATTGCCGTGCGGTAATATAGGGTCAAAAAAATCGCGCCTCGGCGGCTCCGCCGCCTCGGCACTATTAAGTGCGCATTATATTTAATATGTCCTTTTTTTCTTTTTTCTTCTTCTTCTTTTCCTTTCCTTCTTCCTCTCCTTCCTCTTCTTTCCTTCTCCTTCTCTTTTTACAACAACGTCGAAGATCTTCGAATTTGATTGTTGGAAAAGCATCTATTTCAGATAAAGGATGCCTTTCTCACAGTCAACATACGAGGGTCCTGGCTGAAACGTTCTCAAAAAGCCTGAGATGGTAATTCTCTGATCACTCATAGCTGGGCAGGTAGTCATTGCTGACAATACCTGTCTTTATGCATGCACGCTTTCATGTATATGGGTTTACACTATCAATTCGCAAAGTTGTTCCGAATTCTTCCAAAATGGAAGGACCCGAAACAACTTTGCTTGTTAACGATACAGACGCATTACTTTGCATTGATACTGTGCTGAGTTGTGTAGAAAGTTTGATTAGAGTTGTTTTGTTCTGGTATCTCTCATCTTCTGATGAGAGAAATCAAAGCAACACAACTCTAATGAGTTTGTTTTCACTCATTTGTATGTAGGTTTTTAGTTCGATTGGAGCTGCTTCATAATGAGATCTCTCATCAATTGATGAGGGAGATCATAACAAAGCAGCTCTAATGTATATGCTCGTATTAACCGGGTTGTAATGCGTTGTAACGTCAGCTTGTAGTTCGTTTGGGGCCACTTCACATTGAGATGAGAAGAAATGATTAAAGGACTCTGAAAGGCTTTGGCCGTTGATGTTGTAATCGCATTACTTGGAACTAGCTGGATGCTAAGCTGTGTAGAATGTTCGATTAGAGCTGTTTTGATATGATTTTTCTCATCATAAGATTGGAGGAATCATAGCAAAACAACTCTAATGGGTTTACCATCATCTACTTGTATGTAGATGTTTGGGAAATTGTCTTGTTAATCGATTTTCGAGATGACTTTCAAATGCTATAATCAAATGACAAACAAGTCTAAGATTTCTCGACAATACATCAAATCATGATGTTTGTAAGTGCGATGAGATTAGAGTTTTTGAAGGAATGACAAGAGAAGTAGGGAAGCTCGGCATTCGCCGAGCAAATTAAAAAATTAACGTATGGATTAAATTTTAAGAGGAATTCAATTTTAATTACGGGTTGTTCAAATATTGATTAATATAAATTTATTAATAAGAATAAACAATTTTTGTTTTTGAATTTATTCAATTTATAGCTTTACATATAGTTTCAAAATTGTACAACTATGATTATTTCAACAAAAAATATCTTACTTTTTCACTTCACTTTCACCCTCACTTTTTCCGTAATTCAAATTTCAACATTATGTATTTTAATTCCTTATAGTATTTTTAACATAATTAATCAAATAATAATTGGAAGTTCTGAACTCACTTTTTCCGTAATTCAAAATCAAAAATATGAATAATATATCTATTTATTATATACTAATGCTATTTTCAACTAGAAGTGAGGTACGGTAATCTTACGGATTCCCGTAACTCAATTTTACGGAAAAAGTGCAGTAAACTACTCAATTTACGGAAAAAGTGTCGTAAACTATTGATGTGGCGGTAAAATCACGGTAATTCACGGAAAGCTATATGCGAAATTTTGAAATTATACAAAATCGAGCGAAACACTTTTAAATAGGTTGTTCTCGTATTTAAAATACTATTCCCAGATTTATTGTCGTCAGAATATTTCCAAATTTTTGCCGATTTACAAAAAAATGATTTACAAAGCATATTTTTTAATCTAAAAAATTCCTAAAAAAAGGAACCGGTGTGCGGAAACCTCGGTAAATTACCGCGGTTCCCGTTGGGACTGCCATAATACAGATATATTATGTTTGTAAATGCAATCATTTTATTTTTATAGAAATCATAAACAACATCACTTTCAGTTGACGATAAATTTATTTCGCGCCTGATTGAACTAGGAATTCAATTATATTTCTGAATTCTTCATTTTCGTTTTGCTTCTCTTTCGCACAATCAAGTGGAGTTTTTCCTTCATTGTCTTTATGATTTAAATCGACACGAATCGAAACTAAATATTTAACAAGATCAAAATGCCCAAAAGATGCAGCATAATGAAGTGAAGAATCATTATGATTGTTTAAATCATTTTTGTCGACTCCGCATTGAATGAGATATTTAACTACATCAATATGACCATTTTCTGATGCAGCATGTATTGGAGAGCATCCATTATTATCTTTTCCTTCTGGATTAACCCCAATTGAAAAAAGATATTTAACTACGTCAAGCTGACCATTATTTGATGAAGTAGTCATGGGAGAAAAACCATCATTAGTTTTTTCATTCGGATTAACTCCAACTGAAATAAGATATTTAACTACATCAAGATGACCATTCAGTGATGCAGCATGAATTGGTGAAAATCCTTCATTATTTTTTTCATTCGGATTGACTCCAAGTGAAACGAGATATTTTACTATTTTAGGTTACCATACAATGATGAAAAGAGAATACAATCATTACCATTTTTATTTTTTGATTTTACATCACAACCTATGCTTTTTAGATATTTAATTACTTCAAGGTTACCAGAAATTGATGCCATAATAATTGGTGTAGATTCATTATTGCTTTTTGCATTTGGATCGGCGCCGCATGAAATAAGATATTTAATGATTTCAAGATTGCCTGTGATGCAGCATAAATTGATGAACATCCATTATTATTTTTTTGATTTGGATCAGCCCCAATTGAAATAAGATATTTAACTATTTCAAGTTGACAAGTTAATGAAGCATAAAGAATAGGATTATTTCCATTAGTTTTGTTACGCCAGTTCTTGTCAAAACCGATTTCAATTAAATATTTAACGATGTCAAGACGTCCATTAGCTGATGATAAAAGTAAGCAATTATTTCCGTTTTTATCAATTGCATCTTTGTCACATCCTGATTCGGTAAGAGATTTAACAAATTGGAAATCCTCATTAATACATGCTTCAAGCAAGATTGTGTTTTCATCTGAGTTTCGCTTTTCACTTAATCCAACTGCACATGAAATAGGCATTTTAATATTATCACGCTTCTTTGTAAGTCCTTCAAGGAAATTATCACGCTTTTTAGAAAGTTCTTTAAGGAAATTGTAAGCTGTGTCAAAATCTGACTTCAATGGAATTTCATGTATTGTCGCAATTTTATTGATTCTTTGTTGTAATTGATTATTTTCATTATGACATTTGAATATTTCGTTCATGAGTTGTGCATTTTGAATATTAAATTGTGATATTTCATTTTGAAGTTGTGTTTGATTATTTTGAAGTTGTGTTTGATTTTTTTGATTTTCTATGTGTTTAGTAAAGAAATCTATTAATCCAGATGATGATTCAAGTTTCAAACAGGTTTCGTAGGTTTTAAGAATATTAATAGCGTCTTCAAATGTTTTAACACAAACTTTGCATTTTTGAACAAATTTATATAATTTTGGTAATGAATATTTTGTTTTACCTTGCAAAAGAAGAGTTTTGAAAAGAGTTGGATCAAGATTTGCTTTCTCTAAAATGTTTGGAATGTTTTCTTGATCAATAATATCAAAAAAGTTTTCTTGATCGATATATGTTTGAATATTTTTTGCGATATAGTCTATATTTAAAGAAAGACTCATCACAAAAAAATTATCAGATTTTTTCTGACCAAACGGTCTCTATCGTCAACTTTACTATCAAATAAAGTAGCTTGATGTTTTTAAAATCTAATTCTCAATCTCATTGTTTTAATGAAATTCTACTCAAAGATTCTGAAATTTAGAATTAGAACATCAAAAATTCATTTAATAAAGTCAATATTTATTTAGTGATGGTTTTCTTCTCTTATGGTATGAAGCGGAAAAAAAAGAAATCACATGATTTTCATTGAGATTTATCCTCTGTTGAGAATACTTTAAATGGTAAATCACCGAAATTCTATTATAAATTCGAATGGGAGAGCTCTTCGTCAAAAAAAAGCTCATATTCAAATCCTCTCAATAATCGCTTTTATTGACAAAAGTGACAAAGGGAAGTTCACTCTTTTATTAGATTTATTTTCATTATTTTTCTTCAATGAATTACAAAGATCCGGCCGATTTCATAATTCAGCAGCCATGCAAAGATGATCCTGACTCGAAACCAATCGATTTTCATGACGAAATTGATAACGAATCTCGATATAATAATTTCGAAGCACTTTGCAAGAGTTTAAACGATGCATACGCAAGCAACACTCAAGATATTATCATTTATATCAATTCTCTTGGTATATTTTTCGACCGCGAAAGGTTTTATCTAACAAAAAATCCAAAATTTTTACAAGACCTTCAAAGAATACTTTCTTCTTATAACATCCTCGACATACTATTGGAAACACTCCAGCCTCCTTACATACAACAGAATATTTCCTTGTTTCAATACATAATTTTTTTATTAACCGTTTTTTCAACTTATTACAAACCATTTATGGAAAATTTACTATCAACAAAACGGTTTTTCCCACTTTTGTTCGAATTTTTTGTTGATATCGAAAATTATTCTTTCGATTCTAGCGTTTACACGAATATTATGAAGTATTTGATACAGACAATGCCAATAGAATCAATGTTTGAAGACAAATTCCCTCATTTTGCAGAAAATTTTGATGATTCAATAATAAAATTTTTAAAATCAGTGGAAAACCATAAAAATAGGGTACAAACAATATTGTCAATAGAGTTTGTATCACTATTAGTTAAAGAATATCCAGAAGTATTCACAGAAAACGGAACAATAATAATTTTAAATTATATTCACGAAAAACTTGACGAAAACACATTTTTATGGTCAAGCAAGTTTGCTTTTGACATAATAAACTTACATCCGGAGATTTCTAGTTTAGTTTTTGAAAATTTCAAAAATTCTTTTAAGCACTTCACTTCTTTAGATTTTCCATCAATAGAGAGTGGATACAAGTTATTAAGTGTCCTTGTTTTGCATCTTGATGATGAATCAGTGTTAAATTTGATAAAATCATATCCATATTTTTCTGATGATGTCAAAACATGTCTAGAAGATGTAAATAAGGTAGAATATGTATTAGTGTTTCTTACTAATTGCACATCAAGGTTTTTGAGCTTAAAAAACAGATTAATTTTATTATTAGATTTAATTTTGATTCCGATTGGATTAGAAACGTCAACTGTTATCAGAAACTTATGTTGTAGATATGAGAATCTTAATTCTCGTGCTAAAGAACGAATTTGCGTGTTTTTGGCGAGTTTATCGAATTTGAATGTTTTTTTACTGAAAAAAGTGAAAAGATTTTTCAAATCAAACATGATTTGTGATATTCTTGTTAGCGGAAGTAAGGAATCAATTAAATTTGCATTGATTATTATTCTTAATTCAATGAAAATGACGAAAAACGAATCTCAAGATGAATTTGAGAATTTGCTGCATGAATACGAAGAAGAAGGAATTAATGATGAAGTTGGAACACTATCTTGTGAAGATGGTGAAATTGGAAACTTGTCAAATATGATTATTGATGAAGTAAACTGTTAATTTTATTTATACTTTTTTAGGATATTTTTTTGTCGTCTGGAAAAGTGACAAAAATTTCATTTGAGATTTAACAAGCATGTTTTAGTACCTAAATAAAGGAAGAACTTCAATGCCATCTATGTATATAGTGTGCAAACACGCATTATAACTGGATTTGCTCTTTATCTGGCTAAAAATTCTCTCAATCGAAAATTTGTATTGCTAGTTTTTTCTCATTTAAAAGCATATGAGTTGTTCATATTATTTTAATTATATTTTTGTAGGTAGGAATTCTTTTATATATTTGTCGTGATTAGATTTCATTAATTAGTATAAGCTATTGAATGGGATATGCAGTGATTCAAAGATACCTCTTCATTATGCAGTGATTAATGGACACAAAGATATTGTAGAGAAGTTAATTTATGCAGATTCAGATTGTAGCATATGTGATAATGAAGGGAGGATACCTCTACATTATGCAGTAATGAATGGTGATGTGAATATGGCGTTAAAGATAATAAAAAACACATATTTTATAAATCAAAGAGATATCAATGGGAAGTATCCTCTTCAGTATGCCCTCGATCATAGTGAAATGTTCAAATCCCTAGTTTATGATTATGGATCACGAAGACAGTATTACTATCTAGCAGATGCTTTGGAATGTGAGCCTGATGCAAATGAATCCATACAAGAATTCATTTATGATTGGAAACGTGGTTTTTGGAGACCTGGGGATGATTAATTCTATTTTTAAAAATGTGAAATATTGGTTGAAAGTTACAAGCTCTCAATTTTCGTCCCTTTTGTACGTTTATTATAATTGTAGCATATTGTCATCAAGCACGCGACTAACCAGCAAAGACGTGTCCTCTAATTCCATCCCTAGTTCAAGAATCTGGAACTATTTAAGCAAAAACATTCGATTTCAAAATCAAGCATTCTTTATTCAACGAGTAAAACATTAAAGTATGATTTGTCATACACGGAATAATGACAAGCTCTTAGAGTATGTTTAGTACAGAGTTACTGCCAACTTGAGTTCTTGAATTTGGTAAGTTAGAACAAAAGAAGCCATATGTCGCATCTAAGGACTTGTACTTATCAGAGTATTACTAAATGTTTAAGAATGTTAGTTATTCGTCCCAAACTCGTACGTTTCCACGCGAATCTTGATAATAAATATACTATTTTGGACTTTTTGCAATAAATCTCTTTTTACCACATTAGCATATCTGTGTGTATGCTACTTAACCTCTTTAGAGACCATTAAGATAATGTTTTTTGATACTTTTTCAAGACTATGCCATAAAGTAAACGAATAATTTACAAAATGATATTAAAAAATTTAATTTTATTATGCTTTTATAAATATAGATCCAAGGTGATGTGATTTTTGCATCCCTGGGATGGACGATACACCCAAAGTGTCACCTTTTTGGGATAACATGAATTTTAAATATCATGAGAGTTCTGCAAACCATATGCACAATATCTATTCAGCCTGACTTCTTGTATATATGAGTTAGACTTCTTAAATATTGTGCTTGGGGCGATATAAGCATTTCCGAGATTACCATCGTGCTCTATAGTATGCTACTTCTCCCTGGTTCTAGCTCAGTTCCAAGGATATTGGCGTTCAAGGATTTGGCAAGGTCCTTCCGAAGTCTCTCATTCGATGAGAGATTTCGGAAGAATCTTGCCTTAAAGTACTCCAACTCTTGTTCTTTTGTTCCTAAATAGTGAGAAAAGTTATTTGACTACTTAAGGTAGAGATTATCCGAGGTCCCTCATTTGATGAGAGGCCTCGGATAATCTCTGCCTTAAAATTGTACACTTGTAGTCCATGAGAGTGTAAGTATACATTGATAGGACAGCTTTCTTCTGAAGTCTTAGATTTGATGAGAACCTCAGAAGAAAACTGTCCTATTTTATTGTAAAAGGAGTTTCAGGAGCTCCAAAGCTCCCTTTCGTAAGGATTAGGAGCTTTGGAGCTCCTGGTTCGTAGACGTGTTTCGCATCTTTCATCAGAAGAGGCCCAAATGGTAAATAGCCTCTGCTGATGAGTTTCAGGAGCTCCAAGGCTCCCTCTCGTAACGATTAGGAGCTTTGTAGCTCCTGAAGGTAAGGTAGGATTGCTCTGATCTCTAATCAGTAGATGCCATGCCTCATTATGAACTCTACTGACAAGAGATCAAGAGCTCCAAGGACTCCCTTTTTAGTTAGTGAAATATTTGAGTTACCAAATCACAAATGAAGATCCAGGAAAGATTTGGTGAAATTTCAAACAGATCCATGAATTTATATCATATTTTTTTATTCGTGAAAACTCGAAGATATTTTAATATTAAAATTTAATTTCTCTTTTTATTAATTTACCAAATTGAAAACAACTGCTCATGATAAATGCACTTACTTGTGGTAATGGTGGAGTGATCGAGTTTCTTCATAGCGCCACAGTGTGTACCAAGGCGTTTCTTGAGGAATTGGTGAGCAGAAATTGAATGGCGTTCGAATGATTTCTAGCCGACAAGTTCGTGAGCAATCTTGCATGCGAAATTAACACGCTTGGTAGATGAGCGAAGACCCCACTCACGCTTTGGGGCAAGATCATTTTGTTGTTTCTCAGACATTCGTCAAGAAGCGGCCAATCGCATAAATCGTTTTTTGAATTTACCACATCATGTATTATAAAATTTAACTTCGAAAAAAAAACATTTTTGAAGAAATAATATTTATTTTCGTATTGAAGCAAACAGTTGAGAATTTAAAGAAAGAGAACAAGAAACTATGGGGATATGTTACATTTGATAATCGTATGATTACGGCCCAAAAGCAAACTGTTGAAAAGATATTAACAACTTCGAAATAAACATGTTTATATTTTGTCATTTGAAAACATTATCATAAATTGTCTCTCTTTTCATAAATAATTAAACAAAATATCATCATATTTAATACAAATAAAATAAAATAAAATAAAAAAAAATATATATTACAAAAAATATTAAGAAAGGCCGAATGATCCCTGGCAGCCTCTCACAGCAGTCATCAATCTCTCCCTCAAAATCTCTTTGGAAGAATACATCGGCAGTTTGAAGTAGTTGAAGCAAGTCATGACAGAAGGAAGGCAGTCGTCGTAGTTCGCTCCTTTGTCTGGAGCTCTCTCCGCAACTGTCAGTTTCGGCTGCAAACCAGCCAATCCTCCAATTGGAAGATTCACTGATCCAGTTATGAATCTGATTAATAGTTTCTGGTCTTCGTCATTCATCTCTTCAATCACTTCGAAGAAATTAGTAATAACTGGGGAGTCCTTCTTGTATCCTGTTCCGACTTCAACGTTATTCATCAAATCCTGTATTGTTATCCTCTGGAAACTTCCTGTGATTATCTGAATCAATTCTTCTGGAGTAAAGACACATGTTGGCTCCCAATGGAGAACTTGGTTGAATCCTTCAATGAAAGAGTGGCATTTTGTCTTCATGACCTTTCCACATGTGAAATCTCTGATTTTGGAAACGTAATCATTCACATTTTCTTGATTAATTTCGATCATTTGGCCGTTTGGACAAATTGGGAAGTCATAAAGACCAGGATATGTGAAATCAAGGCCAATAAGTCCTTCTGGGTTCTCCAAAGCGATGGCAAGTTGAGGATCTACATCTTGGACTGTAACATCTTCGTTTCTGAGGGTTCTTATGAAATGAGGAGATAAAGGAAGGTCTACAATGAACTGTGTTTGAAGGGCTTTCGCACAAAACATGCCAAGTAACCGTAAATCTTCGTTCGAAGCTGCCGGACTTGGATAGAGACCTGTCTGTGAGAAGGCGAACTCCGCTTGAGGGTCATTTGTTCGCCAGAGACCTCTAGAAGTGCGGCAGAGCTCGTGAGAGAATAATGTGAAAAATTCTTGGGTCGGACCATAACCCATTCCCTCATCGCCGATGAATTGGACCTCTAGGATGCCCATGGAAGGTGCGAAAGCGTTCAAAACCGTTGCTCCTTCTGCGGCCAAATTGTCCCGATTCAACTGACAGTTGTATTTTATGGCTTTCTCGCTTCTCCTGGCCTCTGGCTTTATGAATTCTATGTACATAGAGTAGAATCCGGCCGGTAAATCAAATGCCAGCTCTTTAAAGAACAAAATACGGTGTTTGAGATCAAATAAATACGGGTAATTGTACATCATGCTGCCGGCCGAACTGAATCCGCCAACAGTGTTCGCAATTGAAGCTAATGATGGAGCGATATGATCCGAAAAAGCTTGGCAGACTAAATTAAGGGTTGGATGGAGTCTGTGTATAATAGATAATAGTTCAAAGGTAGGTAAAATCTGTTGCGGGACCTTGCTAACTTGATATAAATCAAAAGGTGCCGGATTTGAGTCTCCTTCGATAATTTTGATGAGAGGACACTTTTCTTTGAGTAGTTTAGGGTCTTTTATTACTTTACAAATGGATTGGAAAACGTTATCTCGAGCAGAAAAAATTGAATTTCCAATTTTGAAGGAACAGCGCTTATATTCTGGAGTATTTGCTATTCTATTGAGGACTGCCAACTTTGAGTACTGTATTTTTTCATCAATCCTCTTTAAATGGCGAGATATAATTGGATTTCTGTCAAAACTTCTTTTCATGATATCAAAAGTGACTCCACGTCTTCTCTGGTTATAAAATGCCTCAATGGCCGAGAAATCTATTGTTATTTCCAATCTGAAATTTTCAGTCCCCATATTCGGCATTTCTATATCAACGTTGATGGAAAATGACTCGAACTTATCATTCCTTTCCGATCCGAGTATGTCCTCGTCATGAGGAACTGGAAAACCACTCAAAATAGAATGAGATGCTTCAACAAGTTGCTTTAGAGATTCCTCTCCAACAACATCTATACGGCCTTGGTATGTATATAAGAATTCCTTGGCAGCTTCGAGTCCTCCTGTATTCACAAAGTCATATAATGGCATGTTTTGCGTAATCAAGAGATCGTATAGTTGTTCGAACGAAGTAATTGAATTTATTTCCTTCAAAGTTGCGAAACCGCTGCTATCTAGCTTAGAAAGTATTAAATCAACCCTTTTTACGAAATCTTTGTCGTTAGAAAGCCTCTTTTTGGCTCCAATGAGTATACTTGGGATTGGAGACTTGGCAAGAGACATTTGGTTGGGTACATTGTTTGCTATGTCCAAAATACTTTTGACCAATTCATTATCTATGGCGTAACCAGTAAAACTCTCGTATAAACATGATATATCGGCTGATGGATTGAGTTTGAGTATGTATTTTATGCATTCTAGGCTTGTTTTAGCTGATCCTCGGTGATTTTGTAAAACGTCTATGATAACAGGGAATGCTTTGTTGATAAAACTCAATATGATGTTCGTTGACTTCGATGCTTTGACTTTTGAGTAGTGCTTGAGCGTTACATTAATCAATGAAACAATTTTCGTATATAACTCGACTTCTCGCGATGTAGATTGCGCCTGTGATATAATACCATTGAAATCTATTGGACTAATAACGAAAGCATGTAAAAGAGAATGAATTTGAACTAATTTTATTAAATCTTCGAGTAATAGAATATCTGAGTTCATATCTGTAATAACTAGTAAGCTTACTGCAATCTGATTGATTACTTTAGGTGGAGCTGTTGAAATATTCAAGCGGGAAACAATATTATGAAAAGTTTTAACTGCGTGAATAACTAATCGTAAATTATATTCTGTGAAGAAAGGTGCTATATCTTGTAAGTTCGAAATCATGTTATTGTCAACATATTTCTCAGTCATTCGCGCCATGGCTACAAAAGCATCTTTTTGATCAATTAAGCTACACTCGTTAATTGCTTTGATGAGAGGATCAATACCCACTGTCTTGCAAAGCTCCTCTGGGTTTACTTTCGAAATTGTGATGAATGTTCTGAGACAATTTTCAGTAATTTTGGAACTTAGCTTACGATCTATGAAGTTTCTCAAGTGTTGGAATATCTTGGTCTTAGAATATAAATCGTATGTGTTATCTAATGAATCAGCAATTTTAAAAACACACTCTGTTGCAAGTTCTAGTATATCAACTCTATTTAGTTGTGATAGTATATCGTCTATCCTTGCGCAAATTTCATCAAAAGGCAGTCGATAGGCTATTTGCTGCTCTGTAAATTGAATTTTATCGGCAATGAGCTTCAATGCTGGGATAGGTCGCTCTGTTTTCAATTGCTCGATGATTGCAAGCCATTCAGGGTCCATTTGATTGGCTTGAATCACTCTTCGCATTGAATCTTTTTCTGAATTTTGTTGTAGGAAAAAAAAATTTTGGAGGAAGAAAAAAATTTTCGAGTTAATTTTAAATAAATTAAAAGGCCATGATGTGTTAAATAATTTCACCAATACGATTTAAATGATTTGGGCTCCAAAACAAATTGGAAGTAAAATTTTCCATTGAACAAGTAAAAAAGATATATGAATATATTCATGGATTCTCCGAGTTATTTAAGGTGTTTGAGTTTCTTAAATCATTTCAACAAAAAGCTAAAAATACCATAAAAAATACCAATAAATAAAGAATAAAAAGTATTTATTCCGCAAAAATCTCTAAATTTATAACAGTTTTAGAATTGGATCCTATTCAAATCATTCTATTCAAAGTAATAAAAAAATCTTTTCGAGTATTGTATAAATTGAAGCAATTGTATTCAAAGTAAGTCTTATAGTTACATTCCTTGCAAATAACATCGTAATTGTGGCTAGTAAACGTGAAATATTTTGAAAACAATTCACATTTAATTTGTTATCATTGAATTTAAGTACAAAAGATGAGTTACCAATTTTCATTTGCTTGGGGAATCAATGTATTTATCAATCTTGGAATATAGAGCTTGAAGTTTTTCTAAGTAATGTTTGTTTGGATGAGAATCAATGTTCTCTCCTTTGGCCTTTAAATAGCACATTTGAAGAGTCGTCAGAGCGTATGCCATTGTAGTTTTGAATTTCAATTGCTCGAATTCTGTTAAAGAAGCCATTGTTTCTTCAATAGGACGTTGGGAAAGCAATTTAATGTGCGCCTCTGCAATTTTTATTGCAATTTGATATTGTTGTAAGTCAGTGTTGTTTGTTTCAGTTGACATTTTTTTCACTTTTTTCCCTGACTTCATATGAAATGTTAGTTTTTTTCGTGATAAGCATAGATCTTTCTGTTACACACTCATCAACTGTTATTTCCTATGTTAATAAAAAAGTAACGAACTTTTATTTAATTAATCCTGATAAGTGGAGTCCTTACTGTTGATCTTGATAACATCTCGAAAAATAAGCAAATACACATCGATCAAAGGAACCTTTGATTCCCATAATGTGAGCCAAAAAAACTACGAAAAACTCCACTTCATTATGCAAAAGAAAAGAAAATGAAAACTACATAATGAACTTGAATATTCATATTTAAAGCAGGTGCAAAATAAAACAATCAAAATATTGAATCCTCAACAGTACAGGCATGTTCTCCACTTTGCACTTTAACTCTAAAATGATATAAAATTGATAAAAGTAGGACATTATTTTTAGCTATTTTCTATAATTATTCATCACATCTCGAAAACTGGTAGTGAATAAACATATTATTCGCCAACATTGTAATGAACAGATGAGCTACTATCACATTACCGTATGAAAAAAGTAATGAGTTTCATTTATAAAGTAACAAATATATTATAATTTACATCAAACAACTAAAAAAAATGAATAAAATAACAAACCAAAGTTAATCAACAGGACGAGAAGAAGGGAATTTATCATTTACTTTTCCTTTAGAATCGCTTCCTGATATCTTCTTTCTAGAGCTCCTCTTCGTGTTCCTTGTTGTTTCGCGGTTAGTTTTTTTAGGAGTGGCTGTGTCATGTCCAGAAGTTACGAAAACATGAGAAGTGTTCCAAGCTTCAAGAAGAATCTCTTTAGCATCCAAATATTTTTGTTTTGCCTCAAGGAGTTTCTTAATAACATCACTAATCTCCATTTCATTTGTTTTTTGTGTTTCAAATAATTTATTTTCAAGTTGACCCATTGCAGTCATATCTCTCTTGTTCACCTCAATCTCTGACTGTAGCTGTTGCTGAAGGCTCCTCAAATTGTACTCTAATACCTCTTTGCTGTTCTGTAAATTGCCAATGGCCTCTCTGTAGGTGTCACTTTTTCCATTTTGTACTCCATTTATTTCATCGAACTTAGTAGTAAGAGCTTTTATTGTTGTATTTCGACTTTCACTGGCTGTTTTGAATTCTTCTTTAGCTTTGACGAGATCGTCTGAATAAGATTGGATTTGTTCCCTTTCTTCTGAGATTTCCTGGCGTGTTAGGTGTAGTCTGGCATCTACATCTTTGGTTGATTGTACTTCCCTCTTGATTTTGTTCTCTTTCCTTTCTTTCCTCAATTTTTGATTTGATTTTATCAATTTCTCAATATCTGCATGGTATTTGTACTCGATATCGTTGTAATCTATATCAAAGTAGTATAAAAGAGTGTTATCCATGAGAGCTTTCGATATAACTTTTGGATTTCCCAAAAGATTATTTCGAAATGAGACTTTTTCAATGGATTTGGAAGCTCCTAATGCAGGTATTAATACATCACCGCCTACATCAGTAATTTCTGTCATCTCTAAATCGATCTCCTTCAAGATGGGATGCTCTTTAATCACTTCCGCGAAATTCTTAGCGCCTTCATCGCCAATCGGGTTATGTGACAGAATCAGTGTTGTAAGGGAATAATTCTCGGCCAGTTTCTTGCAGAAGGATTTGAAGCCGTTGTTGTCAATTTGACACATTGAGATGTTTAATGTCTTTATTTTAAGATTCATGGCAAGCGCTGGTCCGAACTCATCAATTCCGGCACCTGTGAGTGGATTGTGTGACAAATTAAACTCAATTAACTCAGAATAATTTGCAAAAGCTGGTGTAATAGCTTTTGTGAATGCTTTTGTAAGCTGGTTATTAGAAATATTAAGGCGCTTGATGCTTTTGTTCTTGGAAATGTATTTTATGAAGTCTGGAGCAATATCATCTTTAATTGCATTGTTTGAGATGTTTAAATCAACAATGTTTGAGTTTAATATTGCTTGTAATACTTTTCTGCATCCTTTTGAGCAAATATTGTTGTTAGATATGTTTAAAACTTGCAATGAATGATTTAATTCTAATCCTTTCGAAATGTGGATCATTAAATCGCATGTAATCTTTGCCATTGATAAATCTAGTTCGGAAAGAACTTGATTCATTGAAAGAGTTGATGCTAATTCTTTTGCAGCACTTTGGCCAACTGAATTTCTTGCAACTGATGATGTAGAGCCAATTTTAAGTGAAATAACGGAAGGGTTTGATTTAAGTGCATAAAATATGGCATATAGACCTTTGTCAAGGATTGCATTTGATGATAAATCTAATGATATTATTTTTGTTGTTTGTAATAAGAATTGAGCAATAGAAGTAGCTCCTTTGTTGCCAATGGAGTTTCCCGATAAGTTAATTGATCTTATATGAGGATGATTTAGAATTAATGAACAAATCACTTCTGTTGCTTTAGGACCAATAGAAGATGAGCTCATATCAAAGATTTTTAGGAATGGTTTCTTCATTTGATTAATATAAAATCGTTGAAACATCTTGTCTGATGTCGAAATGTTAAAATCTTGACTTTTTGCTATGAATATCGATTTTAATTCTTCTTCGGAAAACGTATTAGTAATTACTAGTGGATCTGATTTGGATTTTTCAAGGCGGACTGCTTGTCCTAGATCAATATCCTCAAATTGAACTGTTTCCTCCGCCATTTTTGAAGAAAACAACGTACAAAAAAATTGAAAAGAGAAATATAAAAATCAAATTTGATTTGATAATTCATATATGTATTGTAAATAAAATCTCGTTGCATCTGAAAATTGGCCTTACATGAAATTTTAAAAGTATTGAGACTACAAAAGTGACATATAAAAATTAAAATGTCACCTTGGCAGAAAAATCCTGGATTCAATAACTTTCAGAATGTAAAATTAACAGAAAATGTGCAAGGACCTCAAATGCCTCGTAGATCTACCGATGAACTCGAGCCAATCCACAGAAGACAAGTAAAACAAATCGATGATTCAAATTATAAGGATGAGGATGATGTTAAACCCAAGAAAAGCAGACTCCCGTTGTATTTAATCTTAGTGGCTTTCCTTGCAATCGCTTTTCTTATTGGATATTTCCTTGACACTGACAGCAAATAAACTTTTAATGAACAATTAAATTGTCATTACATAGTGAATATTTATTGTTGTAAAGATTTATAAATTTCAATTATTTTTTTTTATCATATTTTATATTTATTACTATTCTTCAGCAATACAATGTAAAAGAAATCAGAATTGTATGTTCTTCATCATCCGGGCTTTTAAACATATAATTCCAATATTGAAATTTGATTTATTAGATATATAGGAAGTTTCAGCTTGTTGTTGTCAATACACACAATTATTGCGAACAAATACAATCATTATCTAAAAATGGTTGTCTTTGGCACAACTCCAAGAAGAATTAGAAATGAAACTTTTTTAAATCTGCAATATAAGCAGCAATCGTATTGAGATGTGGAGCTTTATATATAAACTTTCAAAGATCTTATATAAAAATTAGTTTTTTGAAATAGAAGCGATTTAATTCTTTGATAAAACAAATATTTATAAATTATAAGGTGGTATTTTATTGAAATCCACGGCGAGGAGGAGCTGTCGAATCTTTTGCTCCAACAGATCTCAAATATTCTCTAACAGGTCCATTTGAAACACTTAATGGTGTATCTCCAAATTTGCTGGCAGCGTTTTTGTCTGCTCCGCTACCAACAAGATATTTAATTACATCAAGATGATTATTTGCAGCCGCTATGATGAGTGGTGTTTTTCCTTTGAGATTCTTTGAATCCTTATTAGCTCCTTTATTTACGAGTAATTTAACAACATCTAATTTGCCATTTGCAGCAGCCCAATAAAGTGCTGTATCACCAAATCTGTTCTTTGCCTCTTTGTTTGCACCAGCGGATAAAAGGTAATTAACCATATCATAGCGTCCATTTGACGATGCTTTGATAAGCGGAGTATCACTGGAATTACAAGTGGAGTCGATCTTTGATCCGATGGAAACAAGATATTTCGCAACATCTACATTTCCATAGCGAGATGCTCTAATAATAGGTGTCTCTCCATCATCATTCATTGGCTCTCTGGCAGCTCCATTTTCAATCAGGGATCTGACAAGCTTGAGATTTCACTTTTCACAAGCTTCTAAAAGAGGATTCTTGCCAAATTCGCCCTTCTTGTCACTTAATCTAACTTCTATTGCTCGTTGTAGCATCCTGTAGTTTCCTTTGGTTGCGAGGTCATTAAGTAAATTGTAGGCTCCCCAGAAATCTTCTGTATACCTTAGTTGATCCATCCTTGCAACATAATCTTCTGTTGTTTCTGGCATTGCTTCTGTGGCTGCTGCTTGTTCTTGTGCATCGGCTGCTGGAGGAAGAACACCAGATCTATTACCTCTTGTTTGATCAGCGAGTTCCTTTCTAGATCTTCTAGTTCTTCCGTTTTCTTCAGATGCATTTGAAGATTTCGGACTTCTTGTAGAGACAAGGCGTTCTTCAGATGCATTTGAAGATTTCGGACTCCTTGTAGAGACAAGGCGTTCTTCAGATGCATTTGAAGATTTCGGACTCCTTGTAGAGACAAGGCGTTCTTCAGATGCATTTGAAGATTTCGGACTTCTTGTAGAGACAAGGCGTTCTTCAGATGCATTGGAAGATTTCGGACTTCTTGTATAGGTAGGGCGTTGCTCAGAAGTAAATGATTGCGCTGAAGTTGGGGCTTGAGCCTGGTTACGTAATTCGTCCAATTGTGATTGTAATTTTGCGATTGATTCTTCGAAATCTTTATTAACTGGTTGAGTAGATGGTTTCTGGTCATTTTCGCTTAATGCATCAACAACACTGTCTAAAACTCTCAAATCCATACTTTTACTCATTGATTTCAGAACTATAACAGCATCTTGAAAATTTTTGACAGTAACATTAGCAGAATGTGTATAGCTAAAGAGATCCTTTTTGGAAATCTCTGATGCTCCTTGTTGGAGGATAGTACAGTAATCGTCGGAAGATAAAATTGCTGATTTAAGAAATTGTTTGATATCTTCTTCTTCGAAAATAGTAAAGAGTTTGTCTTGTGATATGTAATCTTTGATGTGAGATCCAATGTATTGGTAATTCTGTGTTATATCAGTATCCATACTAAAAATTTTTTGGAAATAAGTGAACTGATTACTTTTCGGATCAATTTCTCTCAAAAAAAAATATAACTCGCCTCGAAAATCAATATTATAAAAATATCAAATAACACAATATACACAGCAAATATTATGATATCTTAAATTTTACTGGTTCTCAATTTATTTTACATTTTTCATCAAACATGTGAAAATTTTTGATAAATATCAACGAGATTTATGAATAAACTTTCTATTTATGAACATATTAACGGTATTTTATGTTGTATGATCGCGATAGTATTCCTTCTCATGTGAATTACATATCAAATCTTATTTTATTGTTCTATTACAAATCAAATTTAAAATTGACTTATGTAATATTACGTTATGACAAAGTGGGTTGTTCACTTTTCAGTATTTGTTGAATTTACAACTATAAGTTACCTAATATAACAAAGGGTTATGAATATGAAATCAGAATGTAGCTACCTCCTTTTGATCCCTAGATGCTACGGGGGTTTCCTACCATCCTATATATTATATAACACATATAACAGAGCCATTATATAAAAGTTTAGTAAGTTTAGTGATATAAATAAATTTTATTATATATAACAAACAAAATATATTAAAAAAATTATAATTTCGATGCAACATCTCCTGATGTATTAAGTGTTTTCTTTCTAGCGATAGAAGACATTGCCTTTTTGATCATTTTCATTTCCGCGTCATCGGCTTTGTGTCTAGACAAAATTAATGTTGTATTCTTTGATTCAACGTTGTTTTCTTTTTGTCCTCCAGTCAGAATAGGAAGTTTTGTGGATTGCGTTGACATCTTTTTATCTATTTGTTGGAGATACTGTTTAAGCATGTTCTGTTCATCTAGATGTTCTTGTATTGTTCTTTCAAGCTCTTTGTTGCGTTTTACTTGACTTTCGTATCTCATTTTATCATTATTTCTTTCACTTTCGATATAAGCACGTAATTCCTTATTAACCTTTTGCGCATTCTCAAGTTCTTGTCTATCCAATGCTTTCATGTGCTTTTTAATGTGTTCTTTTCCACGATTTATTTCTTCCATCACATGTTGATATTCTTTATAGGTATTCTCGTAGTTTTGGGACTCCATATCGTAATGCCTTGCAAGAGTAGTGACTTCTCTTTGTAAAATCGAGTCTTCAAGGCGAGTATCGGATATCTGTCTTGGTTGTGGTTTATTTAGCTGTTTTTCGAACTTCATTGTTGTCTGTAATGCTTCCTGCTTAAATTCTCTTGTTTCTTGATGCATTTTATCGTATTGTTGCTTGAAATTATCAACATCAATTTGGGCGGAAGCGTCTATTTGAGCCTTTTGGTCATTTAACTGTTCTACAATTGTTTGGAGTGACTGTCTTTCGCGTTCATTAACTTGGCATAGTCTTTTTAAGTATTGAGTGTTTTCTATGACTTCTTCCTTGCGTTTTCTGACGGCAAGAAACTCATCTCTAATTTCTATAAGTCTTTTTGAAACATCTTCCGCGTAATCTGAAAAATCTTTTGTAAATTGGTCTTGAAGTGAATTATGTTGATTAATAATAGAATTAATACTGTTAGATAAGATTTTTGTGTATTCCATATGTGTTATAAATATGTTTTTCGATGCTTGTTCCGGAGAAAAAAACTTTTGATCAGCGACAGCTTCGAAATCTCGTATTAAAGCATGGATATCCGAGCATGCTTGTGAAAACTCTGCACATTTTTCTGAGAGATTTCGAATTTGGGCATCTTTATCTGCAATATCTTTTTTCATAATTTCAATTTCCTGCTTTTGATGGGCTAATTCAACGGCAGGAGACATTCTAAACTTCTTTGTAGATGTTTTGAGAACAGGATCAAGATCCCAGACCGGAGGCCCAAAGATATCCTCCGACATAGTTTTTTTCAATAACGTAGGAAAAGTGACAACATATCAATAATCAGGTTCTATGATTAATTCTTGATAAGGAAGATAGTTAGATAGAACAACTATAGGAATTTTTATTAATATGATGTAAAAGTCAATATTTGCTAAGAGATATGAAATTGATATAAGAAGTTGGTATAACATAATAGTATTGATCTGTTGGTTATTATAATTCATATTTAAATCATTAAATGAATTCATTGCCATGGAAATGAAGTTAAATTCTTGTATTATCATAAGATATTGAATTGAATCTTTCAAAGTCATTAAATATATTCATTAATTAGATCTGTAAATAGTGAATATATAAACACCTAACTGTGATAGACTGGATAAATATTAAAAATTTATAAAACAAACAAATTAATTTTTATTTTTCAATTTTTTCTTTTTCATAACAGATGGAATTGAAGGAATTGTTTCAATAATTCCGAGCATCTCATTCCATTGATGTAAATCTCCTTGATGGAATAAATTTTCTTTATTCGAAGCTTCATAATTTGCCAGCTTAGTCAAAGTAGACATAGCTCTGTTATGCATTTGTATAAACAATCTTGATATAGAACTCTGATGGTTTGCAATATCTATTTTTGCAATTTCGATATTTCGGCCAATTTCATCATTCTTTCCTTTCATTCTCTCCAATTCGAACTTCTTCATTTCATCTGTAGAATAAACTCCGATTTCTTTGAGCATAGAACTGTTTTCTTGTGTTAATTTCAAAACTTGTCTTCGCAAAGTAATAATCTGCTCTGACTCATGCTTTAAATCGTTTTCTATTCTCTTGTAACTTGTATCTGGCTCGAAAATTTGATCCGTGATTTGAATAATATCTTCGAAATTCTTTGCAACCTTCAAATCACCATATTTCTGGATGTAATCGAGTTCAATCTGTTTTTCATGATAATATTTATCAATGATATCAAGATAAATTGGAAAATTTTCAATATTTTCAGATAATAATTTTCTATTTTTCTTCAAATTTTCTTCTTCTCGTTGTAGATCTGATTTACAACTTGCCTTCTCTGTTTGCATGGTCGATAATTCTAATTTCATTTGACAAACTTTTTCTAAAGTTACGGCGTAATAAGATTTAAATTTCTCTGATGCTTCATGAGCTGCTTTCGAAAGACTTTTAATTGCTTCTGCTGTTTCGCTAAGATCATTTCGAGTTTTGTTCAATTTAATATTTAAATTTGTAATTTGACTTTTTAGTAGCTTATAATCATTGGAAAACTGTCTGTATTTTTGTACACCTTCTTCTAATGATGAAACTAGTTTGTTTTTTTCTAATTGCAATTCGTCAAAATTAATCGTTTTTTGTTCAGTTTGAGAGTTTCTAAACGAATTGCGAGTTTGTATAGATGAGTTCATTGATTCGTGTATTTGACTAGTTAAATCTTGTATTCTAAGATCTAAATCGTTTATTTGTGTTGAATTTTTTGAAGAAGTTGTTGAATAAAACTGTTGTTTCATTTGCAATTTTGCAGTTTTCTTCGTAATTGACGATATTCCCTTGGAAAATTCGTTTATTTGTTGTTTTATGCTTTGTAAATTCTCATCTGGTTCAATTCGTTCAGAACCGGAGATAAAATCTTCTAATTGTTCTTTTGAAGAACTCAAATTATTAACTGATGCTATTGTTTCTGTAAATTGGCTTCGAAAATTTGTAAGTTCATCTTGAATTTCTTCGTAACGTGTGTCTAAATTCTGCTTTTCTTTGTCTAATTCATATAATTTCGATAAAGCTTTAGATATTGCTTGGTCTGCTTTTTGAGAAAGAGATTTTAATTGTTGGGTTTGATAATATTGATTTTCTTGGAATTCTTTCCATGCACTCTTAATTGTTTCGTCGTATCTATCAAGAGTCATCATTCTGCTCCTATATTCATCTTCCGTTATTTTATATTTTTTATACAAATGCGAGACAGATTCACGCTTTTGAGAATATGTATTCACATGTTCTGATAATTCATCTCCAATCATTACTAATTGTCTTTTAATAATCATATTTGAAGAATCAGTATCTTTATTCTTTACATTCTTCATAAAAATGTTTGATAAAGAAATCATTCTGGCATTTTTTATGATGACTAAACTATTTCCTATCTAATATTAAGATTATTAAAATCAAACAGCAATTTTAAACACTGATTCATTGAAATTTTTTCTAAAATATAGAATTTCGGTGGTAGTAAGACAAAAATGAACAATTTGAATGTTAAAATGGAGGTACTGCGCTATTTCAAAGATATGAAAGTAACCTTATAGGCAAAATATAATTATTTGATTAATTATTAGAAAATATCGAACAATTCTAATTGTATTCGATAGTTTAAGTAAAACTATTGAACTGGAAATAGAATAGCCTGTTTATTTACATTAAAACTATAAAAAAAATTAGCAACTGCAATTTCCCTTTGGAGCATCGGGCTTGGCAACGTCAACACTTTGCTTTGTGCGTAGTCTAGATGATGTAGGATTAAACTTCAAGTATTCTTCGCAGGCATCTTCGAATACTTCAGTAACTCCTTTACCAGTAAGCGCACTTGTTTCACGATAGATAGCACCTATTGATTCAGCAAGTTTCTCGCCTTGTTCAGCAGTGACTTTTCTTCCTGGTAAATCAGATTTATTTCCAACTAATACAGTAATGACTCTTCCGTCATTAACTTCGCATATTCTATCATGCCACTCATTAATGGCATCCATTGTTTGCGGTAATGTTAAATCGAACATTAAAATTGCAATTTTTGTATCGCGATAATATTGTGAAGTAAGTGATCTATAAGCTTCTTGACCAGCAGTATCCCAAATAAGAAGATTTACATTGGTTTTACCGACTTTTAGCTTGGCGTTGCAAAACCCAGCTGCAATTGTTGGAGTAGTTGTTCCAGAAAACTCACCAGTAAGAAATCTCAGTGAAACACATGTTTTTCCTACTCCGGATTCTCCAACAACAACTACTTTGAGTGTTAAATCTTGAGACATTGAACAAAATTCTTTGTACCGAAAAACCGTCAAATGTAAATTTGTTAGGAAAAAGTTGTTATTTAGCCAATTCTTTGATAGAATTCGCGGATTTTTAGGATTTGACGAAATCCGAAAACGATGGAAACAATTTACGAAATCTCATTTGAAAATTTTTTTGACACTCGAACTAATTAACTCAATAATATTATTACTTAATATTGTTACAGCACTTACTCATAATTATGCGGTAATCGGATCGAAAAAATCAAACATAACCCTTAAACTTAAAATTCAGCTTCAAAGTATACAAAGCAAGAGGATCGTGGTGGTAAAGTCCATCAAGCTATCGATAGTTCTTTAAATTAGAAGATAAATCAATATACTTTTTCAAATTAATTGAATAAAAAAGTTATATGAGAGTATTATTTTCTAAATTAAGAAACCATCATGAAGATAAAATAAATTTTTACAACTCTATTGATTTGTAACGCCGTTGATAGTCTTTTTTTGGGATATTAAAAACTATTTGAAAAAATATAATACTTACTGATCAACAACCTTTGTTGTTTGAAGGCCATTGAAGGAAGCAACGTTCTTGTAGGATGCAATTGTAACCATCTTTTCAGCATCTTCCTCGTCAGCCTTGCGCTCGAAAACGACACGAACGCGTGTTGGTGGGCAGTTCTTGCCATGGATCCAGATGCGGGAGTTAAGTTCTGGGTCGATTTTAACGACTTCTGTGTGCATCATTTTCTTGGCTGCAGCTGTGATGAATTTGATAGCTCTCTCAGCACGGAATCTGCGTGTTGTTCCGTGGACAGCCTTTTGAAGGTGAATTGTTGTTTCAAGCTTTGCTGGAGCGAGTTCCTTTGGCATAATACAATGATGGTCCAAATCTAACCGCCAACAATTTCATACTTTAGATCTCTGCTGATATCATGATACCTAAATGCTATATTATATAAAAAATCTAATTACTTGCTCAAATTCCGTAAAATTACAATTGTGCATACAAATTCATCCAAGCTTTGACGAACAAGCAAACTATTTGGCGACGGCTTAAGTATTAAGCCTATACTTTGCAACTGTGGAAGCGAAATTATTGATTTTCATTCATTGATCTTTCATTACTTTCAATGACATAACGAATACTTGTGTTGATGGTTTGTTTTTAACCTTTTCCTGCCCGTTGCTTTGTTTCAATAATATTATGAATGTAAAACTCCGGAAGAAATTTAGATATCAAAAAAAATGAGTGATTACAAAATAAATGGTAAGTATTTATAAATAGTATAATATATATTACTGAAATCACAAAGAAAACTATATAAAACAAAGTTATGTTGCTCCAAGATTTCGAAGAATTGTCTTAATATCGTTATTATTGGTACTTCTAAGTGGTGTTTTGCCTTTATTGTTCTTTTCATTAAGTTTAATACCTTTAACTGTAACAAGGAACTTCACAACTTCAACTCTACAGTGGTCACAAGCTTTATGGAGTGCTGTATCGCCACCAATATTCTTGGCATTAATATCAAGTCCTGGGAGTGTGCAAAGGTACTCAACTACAGGAAGACGATCCCAATAACAAGCATGATGTAATGCTGTCCATTTGTTAATTGTATTTGTGCAAGCAATATCAGCACCACATTCTGCAAGCATTTTTACAAGCGGTAGATTGCCTTTTGAAGCTGCATATAAAAACATATTAAACCTCGTCTTATTTCATGATATCTATTCTCGATTGCATATTTCATTGATATTTTATCACCTTCGTCTGCAATATTCCTTAAAATGTCATAAACTTTGTAGAAATCTTCTTCTTTGACGTATTCATGTGTTCTTTCGAACTCATCACGTATTGGAGCGTATTGTTTTAAGTTTTCGATGTGAATTGTGTTAGTAGGAGTCGGTGAATTGATAGATGCCTCTTTTAACATTTCAATTTGCTGCTTTAAATCTTCAATAGTGGCTGCCTGTTGAGCGATTTCAACATTTGCTGTTGAAATTGATTTTCTGCTTAAAAGATTTGGATTCTTTCCCTTCATGTCGTTAATTTCTTTTCGTAGATGAATTAATTCTTCATCTTTTGTTTTTATTGTATCTAACATCTCCTTAACTGAAGATTGAAGAGCTCGAATAACAGGTGCCTTTAAGAAATTACTCAAAACGTCACATAGAGCCAAAGCTTGGTCAAAATCATGACCAAGTTCGACTTTGACGTATTGGAAGATTTTGAAGGAGTCTATTGGATCATATTTAAAATATGAGTCTTCAAAAAGGTTCCTTGCTTGTGATACATTTAATGTTGCAAGTTCCAAAATCTTGCATGTGTCCTGTATGTTGTATGACTCAACAAATGTATGATTTTCTAGTTGGTTCCCTATATCATTAGCTACCTGTCGATAGTTGATAGTCATTTGTAAAATTGATTGAAAACTCTGCTTTTACGAAAAAAAACGTTCCAAGACGATAAAAGGTACATTGAATTCCAAAAACAATTATAGTTTCAATTCACATTTATTTTTATTTTGCATCTGCGAAATCAACTTAATGATAAAAATAAATAAATTGAACGTGCATTGAAAAAATTGCTCAATTTTTCAAACAACTCATAATCGTTGTCGATTATTCGAATTTTGATATATTAATATTGCAGTACAGAGTTAAATCTATTTTAAATTCGGTTTTTAAAAAAAGTAAACTTTTGCGGTTTGAGTGATAAAATTGCGATTTCGGTGTTAATAAATCAACATTATCATCGAGCTATTTGAAATATTTAAGTTATATGATTTTTGGAAAGCTCCCGCAATATTTGATCAGCAATTTGAAAAAAGTTGAAATCTAGAAAATAAATTTCATTATGCATTAAGAACTCATAAAGCATACATAATTTTGCCAAATCGCCCTTGTCATCCAATTCATAATATTCAAAGTTGCTTGACTATAATCCTGTTTAAATAAGACGATTATTTAATAAGCCTATATGTATTACAGCTTGTCTTAAGGATAATTTTTAAAAGAAATTGTTAATTCGTAAAAAAGATATATTTATCTTTTATAATTGATATCAGTTGATATAAAACTTTCGTATTTTTGACTAAATTATATATTTCTTATCAAACAGTTCCCACAAAAACAGTTCTAATTTCATAAAAAAAAATACAAAAAATATAATCTTTATTCTTAATAGTAATTGGAGGTTCTAAGTGCACGATTAATTGGAACAGAATCAGATACATGCTTTGTCTTTCCATTTCCTATTTTAATCAAATAATCTATCTTAACACTTTTTGGATTGAATTCAACAACAGATCCATTATGCCATTCACCTTTGTTGTCAAAGAAACCTGCTTTTTGTCCTTTCTCACTTGGCCTAATTATCTGAATCTGATGGAGTTTGATTGGTCCGTAATTTGTAGAATTAGAAAGTGGCATTTCGAATGTTGTATCGACAATTTGATATGATATAATCACATCATTTTCTATATTATTAATAAGAATGTTCTTTCCAATATATGGCACAGCAGCGATAACTCCTTTATAAACTTTTTCGTGGTTGAAAACTGTTTCAGCTGTTCCCTTTTTCTCTATATCATAAATATATTCGCGTTTTGTCAACTCCTTCTTCTCAGGTTGATCGAAATTGATTGAAGATAATACACTGCTTGTGCTTGTTGTCGGAGGACTTTTAGATCTCGATGAATACTCTCTATCATTTGAATATTTCCTATCATATGAATAGTCTCTGTCGTGTGGATGTGAATAGTCTCTATCATATGGTCTTTCATGTCTACGGTAGGAATCGTGATTGTAATCGTATTCTTCGTCATCGGAATAACTCCTTCTCGATCTGTGATGATGATGGTGGTGTCTGTCATCATAATCATCATCGTATCGGCGTGAAGAAGAATAATCGTTGTATCTTGGTGGCGGACGAGGAGAATCGTCATTTCTACTGTATGATCTCGGTGGAAATTCTTCATCTCTACGCGGCGGTGGTGGCGGCGGCGGAGGTGGACTGCGTCTGTAATCTGAATATCTTGAATCTGGTCTCGGGGGTGGGCGATCATATCCCGGTGGTGGAGGTGGAGGATAGTTCGAATCATCTGGTCGTGGATACGAATTCTGGGGAGGAGGAGGTCCGGAATGGCGTGAATTTCCATTGTAATTCATTGGTGGGCCAAAATCATTATAGTTGTCTCTGGGATCTCTAAACCGACGATCTGGATAATCTGGTTCACTCGGATTAGGAGCAGACGACATTCTTTGCATTGGTGGATGCGGCGGGCCAGAAGATGGAGGATAATTTGGTGGATTTCGTTGCATGTATCCTGGGCCTGAATTTGGATTGAAAATAGGATTAGGGCCACGATTATTATTTGGATATTGATTTTGAGGATTGTTTGGACCCATATTGTAATTAGGACCTGAATTTTGCATGGAATTTGGAGGTGGAATGTAATTCTGGTTCGAATTTTGTCTTGAATTTGTATTTGGAGAATTCTGTCCAGGAGCGCTTGTATTTGCAACAACTGTTCCTTCCATAGTTTTCACAAATTTCCATCTGGTTCCATAATCACTCAGCGGCAGTAACTCTGGGCGATCATTTTCGGTTAAAATGCAAACATCACCTGATTTCATAACAAAAAGTACATGATATTCTTGTGTATTTTGCATTTTAACCATACCAACGGAATATTTTTGGCTATTTGCTGTAAAATCGTAGATATTATATGAATCATACCAATCGTACCCTTGATTTGAAAAGCAAAACACTTTTCCATCATATGGGTGTAATGCTGTAGCTCGTATGAATGTTTCCTTTGAATATATTAACAAATTATCTCCTGGAATTATTCTTTTCTCATTAACATCATAGCAGATTAACTTATCGGTTGCGATTTGGAATTCATCGTCACTATTTAATTCTTCATGATGTTGATTGATAGTATAAATTTGTGGTTTGTTATCGATTGAAATAAAAACGCCAACAGAGTTTGTTTTAGGAACATAAATTAGATCTCCAATTTTTGGTCGTAGCGTTAAATTTAGCACTGGTCGGGGCATTTTAGTATTATCCATTGCTTGTGTGTATGGATCTGTTTCTGTTAACACGGTTTTATATTCTCTATAGCAACTATATTCAGGATATTTTGGAATTTCATCTTCTGGAATGAAAGTGAAATCATCCCTATTTCCAGAATGATAAGCATCCAAATATTGAAACTGGAGTCTTCCTTCTGGGTCTAAACTGACTATCTTTGCATACTTATCTTTATTCAATCGTATGAAATCGCCTTCTTTAAAAACAACATTACTGCTCATTGTCACTTTTATAGCTTTGAGGATTCTATTTGAAGTCAATCAAGCCTCTCAATTACGCTTCAGTTTACATAATTATGTTTTTTGCACATTTTATGGTATATTCTATAAATAACACATCACCAAATCAAATCAAGAGAATTGAAGATTTCAAGCAAAGAAATCAAATATAATCCAAGTAATAAGTATCACGTATTTACTGGATAATAATTCAAATTACAAGTATATTTTAAATATAATAAACTAGAAGTGTTCATTTGATTATCAAATTGTTCCAAATGAAATTGCTAACAAATTAATTTTGATCCTAATATATCTATTCGATCCATATTGTTATCATATCCAATAATTTGTAGAATTATATAATCAGTTATTGATTGGTTGATCTCATCAACAATTTATAATCATTCGATGGAATCTTGTAGTTTCCATTAAAGTTGGTCATCAATCTGGCATAATCATATGTTAATTCCAGATTAATAGTTAAAAATAAATTGGAATTCTATGAGCTTAAAGTAATTTTCCAAGAAAACGCGACTTTCCATGAAAACTGCTTGTATATGGTATATATTAACTTGATAAATCCTCCATGCTCTCTTTATTTGAATTTTTGAATAGGTGACTGGAATTTTCAAAATTTTAAAATTTAAAATAAACATCTGAATCTTATGCACTTGCCAAAATTCTTTCTATCGTAATTTCTCTCAAATTGAGATAAACCCATCAGAAAATAAAATGAGCAAAGTTTTCATCTCATTTGACGTTGATGGAACTGTTGTCAACTTTACGACAAGCGTAAATGTTCACAAACAAGCATTTTCTAATGCTGTTGAGGAGGTAATTGCTCCTGTCGGCGATATTGAAGAGTTTTTAGGATATTCATTAGCTGGTTGGATGGACAAAAAGATCATCCATCATATTGTTGAGAAGCTTGGCCGCGAACCAACCGAAGAAATAATAAATGAAATAGGAAAGCGCACAGAACAAAACTTTATCAAAATGTTTACAGTCATTCCAGAGGTTCCAAAAGGAATTAAGCAAATCCTTAGTGAATTAAGTAAGATGCCAAATGTTACCATCGGACTTGCAAGTGGAAATTTGCAAGAGATTGCTTAGAAGAAACTTTCAAATGCAGGATTAATAGAATACTTCCCAGACAGAATCGGAGGATTTGGCGGATTTGTATGGGAAAGAGTAGAAGCACTCAAACTTGCACGTGAAAACGCAGAAAAATTACGTGGATACAAATTTGATAAATGGTTCCATGTTGGAGATATGCCGAATGATGTTGATGCTGCACTCGCTGCAGGCGCAACAGCAGTAGCTGTTAAAACAGGACATCCTGGCGACCATCCTTATCCATCACCTTCCTACATATTCAATAACCTCGAAGAAGGCCATGATGAATTCATGAAACTTATTCAATAAGAAATTTACAATTTTATTACTAAATTATCTTATATTGATTCTATAATTGTAAATTGCTATAATTAATGGATAAAAAGGGCAGCTTTAAATAAAATTATAATTAAACAGATGATGTATATAATGAATTAAAAAAATTTACAAAAAATAAGATACCCTAAAAATCCGACAATTGAAAAATTTTCATGACCCCCTCCCCAGGGTTCAAAAATAGCATATTTTTCACCCTAGAAACATGATGAGCAGATATTCAAAAACTAATATCAGCACAATGATGCTGCATGCCTAGATAGTATATTATACAAATATGGGTCAAATCTGAGAGGGTCGATCATGATTATATAACATATTTAGAATTTCATTATCTCATCATCAGAGCTATATCTCTCTGTCAAAACTTGCCATTCATATATATGTACATGTTACTTTATATTCATGATACCAAAATAGAAAAAGCTTTTTTCACTTAAATCTGATAGCAACGTAAATAAGACTCATTGTTGAAATACTGATATTTTCTTATTTGACCTATACAGAAACTTTTAATATAGATTTTATAGAATACTACCAAAATTAGATATAATATTTAATAAAAGTTTTATGTTTAAATTTCCAATGCAATCATCTTGTATAGACCATCAATATAAATATTTGATGCTCTAATATATGAGATATAAAGTGATGCAGAATGAATTTGCAAGATTAACATATTTCCTTGCAGTCCTTAAATTGGAGTATGGATTGAATATGGTAGATGCATTTATGTTAGTGTAATTAAGAGAAATGAGTATAACGTGTAATTATAAAACAATTTAAAAATGAATGAAGAAAATATTAGGCATTATGCACTCCTGTCGGTCTGCATGTGTCATTCTGGGAGACATTGCCTATGCATGTCTCCCAGAATGGCAGACTCTTCCGCATTCATAACTTGAATGCGGAAGTTTGACCGACAAGAGTGCATTGTGCACTCCTGTCGGTCTGCATGTGTCATTCTGGGAGACATTGCCTATGCATGTCTCCCAGAATGGCAGACTCTTCCGCATTCATAACTTGAATGCGGAAGTTTGACCGACAAGAGTGCATGATGCACTCCATTTTGTCCTATCCTCTAACTAACAAAAACCAACCCTTACATAAAATTTGTAAATTCTGATTTTCACTTAATAATATTTATTTTTAATTTTTTGTGCTTTATATAACTTATTTTTTCTACTACACTATTTTACAGACTCTACATAGCTATCCCCACATATAAACCTGTGGCAATAACACATATATACTCCCTTCATATTCTGATCTCATGACATATTATCGCAAAAACTATAATTATACAACACACCTCATAAAGTCTCATTTTACCCCTATCTAAGCGTTCAAAACTTATTTTCCCCGCGTAATCTGATTCTTCTGGCTCCGCTGATTCGATTTCTGCTGTCAGATCGTGAAAATATGCATCACATAATGAGATAAACCCAAATTACTTAACTTAATATTTTACTTAAAATTTCTCTTCAAGTTCATACTTCATCTTTTTTTGAAAATTCGATTTTTTCAAAAAAATATATGAATTCAAAAGTGCAGATTATATCTAGTCATTACCCAACATTGATTTTGTATTTTAGTTTTTGAGATAATCATTTTATTATACGTATTATTCAGAAAATTAAATATATTTGTGAGGGAAAACGGAAGATATAATAAATATTTCCATAGCGAGGAATAGGAAATTTTAAGTAAAATATTAAGTTAAGTAATTTGGGTTTATCTCATTATGTGATGCATATTTTCACGATCTGACAGCAGAAATCGAATCAGCGGAGCCAGAAGAATCAGATTACGCGGGGAAAATAAGTTTTGAACGCTTAGATAGGGGTAAAATGAGACTTTATGAGGTGTGTTGTATAATTATAGTTTTTGCGATAATATGTCATGAGATCAGAATATGAAGGGAGTATATATGTGTTATTGCCACAGGTTTATATGTGGGGATAGCTATGTAGAGTCTGTAAAATAGTGTAGTAGAAAAAATAAGTTATATAAAGCACAAAAAATTAAAAATAAATATTATTAAGTGAAAATCAGAATTTACAAATTTTATGTAAGGGTTGGTTTTTGTTAGTTAGAGGATAGGACAAAATGGAGTGCATCATGCACTCTTGTCGGTCAAACTTCCGCATTCAAGTTATGAATGCGGAAGAGTCTGCCATTCTGGGAGACATGCATAGGCAATGTCTCCCAGAATGACACATGCAGACCGACAGGAGTGCACAATGCACTCTTGTCGGTCAAACTTCCGCATTCAAGTTATGAATGCGGAAGAGTCTGCCATTCTGGGAGACATTGCCTATGGTATAACTTCTATTTCTGCTTTCTGGGTATTGTTTTTTGTTGTGATGCTTTTCTTCTCTTGCCTTTTATGTCCTGGAGCAATGATGAACATTTCAAAATTTGAGAAAATTTTTGTGTCATACACTATTGGAAATTGATGGTATATCTAGCAACATCATCCTAAATATCTTATAAATTTTAATTTATTTTTCATTTATTTTTTAGTTTTTGGATATCTGATGAATGAATATAAGGAAGATGAAGATACAGGTATTCCAAATCTTCCAAAAAATGACAAGATTTTCCATTTAAAAGACGTCAACTACAATCTCTATACGAATCCACAAGAAATTAAAGAAGGATTTTTTGAATTTTCAATAAATTTTAGCAATATCTTTGATTTTGATGGAACATTTTACATCCTTCTTTTGAAGGATCGAGAAGATCAAAGTGCAGCTATCAAAGACTTGTCTTTTTTTACAGATAATATTGGTATCATTACTTTTCAGAATTTCTTAGAAGCTGATATTTTTAAGTACATAGTAGCGATGTTTACGCAAACAGAAGGCTTTGAATTAGAATTCGGACACATTTTTTTAAATCTATCAAAAAATAAGAATCCGCCAACATTAGAACCTTTCGTTACTGATCTGTGTAACATAATTTTGAATCTAAATGAAATGTTTTTACCTGAATATATTTATGCAATAAATAACTATTTTCAAGACGATGTTCAATTCAGAATAGTAATTCATAATCTTCTTACAGTCTTTGTGGCTGAAAAATTAGCACAAAAACCTACACCATCATATGTTAATCAAATTTTAACTTATTTTCAGAATTTATTTTACTTCAGCTTTGTTGAAGTTGATGTAGATGAAAACGAAACTCCTCTTTTGATAAATTTTGAAGACCAAATTGTTCATTTAGTTGCAGATTATGTGACCGAAAGAATTAAATGCGAAAGTTCAGATTTATATCCACCAATTCTTGCAATTCTAGCTCACAAAGGTGAAATCGCTGAATATTTGATATCAATTGGAATAGAAAGTCAAATTTTAGATTTATTATCAAATCATGATTCTCGAATCTCAGAAAATATATATTTGTTAGCTGAAAAACTGATAAAATGGAGGATTGAGAATCATCAAACTTCGAGAATCGTAATCAATGAAAAATTTTATATGATAATGCAAAAAGACATATTAGGAGAGAAACAGGATATTTACATTCCAACTATATGCAATATCATATATGATTTGATCGTTGAATATGGAGATATTCTCTATGATTATCTAATTGAACCTTTTGTTCAAATGTTGAATACGGTATCTTATCAAGGATTGATTCCAATACTTTATGTTTTATGCGAATATATCATTATTGCCCCTCTTGATTACAGATTAAAAGTTTGCACCCCAGATTTCTTTGATCGCCTCAGTTCCTCAATAGACGAGGCTATGCCAACGTCTGTTGAAAAGATTTCGTCAATGATCTTGGCTTTAATTGAAGATCCAAATGATACCGAAAGGCCATTTGATGATATTATAAAAGAATCAGGGATATATGAAGAAATATCTGACTATTTTGAAAGTAGTGACGAAGAACTTCCGATTACATCTCATTTACTTGATATTTTGGTAATCGAATAATATATCTACTTTTTGTTTCATTTTGAATGAATTTTTATTACCATTACTCATATATAAAGTGTTTGTTTACATCTAAGAAAGTATCATTAAGTATTTTTCACAAAGCACAAATTTTAAAATAACTATGCTAAAATGGATCAAATTCTATGTCTTGTTTTGTTATGTTTGATTACATTTATCTCTAGGTACGATTATTTTATTTCATCGCATTTATTCAAATTTATGAAGAAATCATTAATCAATGAGGTCAATATTTAGGAGTATAAAAACATCACGTTCATGGTGTTATTTCCAAATTATATTAGCTTATTAATTGGAATGTTTTAATACAAACTTATAAGAATAGCTATTACTTCCTTCAAGAACTGACCGCATTGATTGCCAGGCTCGAGTGAATGTCGCAGCATGAAAGTATGGGATATGAGAGTCACCTAGATTTTGACACACAGATTAGAAATTATTTTGACAAAAAACGAGAAAAGTGACATCTCATGCAGCGGATTAATATGGATCTCATGGATAATGATGATTATGAGGAAGATGAAGAGCTGCAAAAGATAGCAGACAGTAACAATGAAGCAAATGTCGAATACTTTAAGCAAGAACTCCTTGGAGTTCAAAAACGAATTAATAAAAATCGAGAAAAGTTAGCATATTTACGTAAAGTATATCAGCAATTTGCAATGCTTATCAATAAAACAGTTTGCGATAACTATGGACCGCCAATTGTTCATCAAAAAGTTGAAAAGCCGCTATCGCTTCCAATTCCTGAAATAGATACGAAAACAAGTAATGAGCTCATTCACCTACTTACCAAAATGGAATCTGTATCACCATCTGATGTACAAAAGTTTTTAAATAATTCTTCTGTTGTAGAAAAGCTTATTTTTGGCAATCAAACTATTTTTGATGATCAACTACAAAATGCAATACTTCGTACGTCTCCAGATATTAGAATGGCGTTTTTCAGTTCAATTCTCACAAAATTATTACGTTGTAATAAATTTTTAGAAGGATTACTACCAATCTTATCAAAACTTTCTTTGAACAGTGTACTCCAACGTCAATTATCTGACCCTTACGCCGATTTCAAAGATTTTTTGACGTTTTTTGAAGAATCCAGAAGGAAAATTGGTGAAACACTAGGCTTCAAAGACATCGTTATACTATTTAATACAGGAGACGGCGACTTATTATATCAAACTTCCGATCGAAATAATTTATTACAAATAAACAACACTTTAGTTGGCCATCTCCTTCACTGTGAAGGCCCTATAGTTACTTCTCAACCCCTAGAGAGCGATAAGATCCAAAGGAGTGAGGAAAGGTGCTTTTTTAAGGATGACAGAGCTTGTTTATCAATGAGGTTTTCTTTTGGCGACAATATCGAGGACGGATTAGTTTTACTTTTCAATGATCAGTTCACCGAATCAGATATGGCCATTATGCAGATAGTTATACAGTATACAACCCCTGCTTTGCATACTTTTGGAACAATTTTTAATACGTTGACTCCTTCAATGATGTCGAAGATCTTACTTGATATATCATCATTGTATGAAGCTAAAGATATCATTAAATCAATAGAACAAGTTGTTCAGTCAACATTAAATTCTGTCAAAACAAAAGTAATGACTTTAAAGAGATCTGAAGAGTTCCCTAATGTTCCTATACTTCCACAAGACAAATCATTGATAAGAGCGGCCGCAGAAAAGGGAGGTTCCACTTTAATCAGATTGCCAAGATTACAAAAAGGTTTTGTTAAAGAAATCGATGATGATACATCTCTTAGTATTATAACTGTTCTACATATCATTAAAATACCATTTAAAGACCTCTTTGTCATAAGTTACAACGCAAATGATTCGAATTCTTACAAAATTCAAGTCAGATCGATGGTTGAGCACTTGATAAATGCTACACCATATCCTATTGAAGAATTTCTTAAGAGAAGAGCTGTAGAACAGAATTATAACTTAGATTCAACTCAAAAAGATTTAATGGAGAACTTTTTAACGAGAATACCACGTTTAGTGCAAGCCGTACAAGATTCCAAACTTATAGAAGTTGTTGCCGAAGAAACAGGCATAAAAGGAATGAAAGTTGAAGTGATTTCATTGATTGAAGAAAATAATTATTATGTTTTCCCTTCAAATGTAATGAGTGAGTATCCAGAAGAGATATCAGGTATAGCAGAACCAACTCACATGCAAATTGATGAGCAAAATGAGATTTTTGTCATTCCATCAACTTCAACTACTTCATATTGCGTTTTTAGCGGTATTTCGGACTACAGCTCTATTGACGAACGATTATTGGTGTATTTGGGTAACGCTACGATCGTTTTATTCCCTTGGGCTTTGATGGAAATTCAATTTAATGATATGATACATAGACAAACATATCTTAGAGGGTCAATGAGAATTTCTATTGACTCTATATCAGATTTAATTGACTATAACCTCATTTACAAGGAGTATTCTCCTCCAATTTCTGAAAAAGATTTTAAATCCGAAAAACCATTCCATATTTTGATAGAAACGAAGCGAGGAATCGAAGCATCAATCGAATGCGATGAAGTTATTGAAGATGATATCTCAAAAAGTGTTCTTGAATCGTACAAAGATTATTTATCTTTCGCATTATCATCAAGGAGCTCAGTAAGAGAAGTTCCATCGGAGGTGTTCAATAGTATAATTGATTATGTCCAAATTTTCAAGTGTGATAATACAAAATTGATGAATTGGATAAAAATAATTTTATCTTTCTTCAAAACTAACAATTATGACATCAATGTTAACCTCAAAATGATGAAATTTGTTAAATCCATTTTATCCAAGCTTTCTGTCTACAACTGGTTCTCAGATGATGATAAATCTGTTATTATGATTTTATTGTTCTTGAATGGACTTGAAAACTTTTGGAGAATCAAGGCAGATGATTACCTAATAGATTTATGCTCAAATTCAAGTTTTTATGGAGCTCCTTACGTTGCTGCAGTTTTTAATTCTAATTTCGGAATTGGAAATGGATTAAGCATTGATCGTGCAAAGCATATCGCTCGTCTATTTTCCTATTACTCAATTGGCCCGAAAATGGAACAAGAACTTGAAGTTATTGCAAGAGTTAGATTTATTTCGGATAAGGGCTGGGAAAAGTCAGATGAAGCAAAGGTATTCGTTGGAAAGTCTCTTAGTATCCTTAGTCGTGCAGAACCTTGGTTAGTTTCGCCTTTCGATCCTTCAGCTTTTGCAAACCCGAAAAGAGAGTTGATTTATCTTGAAAGAGTTCTTTTACCACTGTTTTCATACTACAGCATGAAGAATGAGTTCATGATGGGCGATATGAGAACAATTCGAAGTAATATTCGCCAGATTCGACTTCAGCCTAAGTAATTTATATGTTTTTATTGTATGTAATTATATTATAAATGTTTGTATTTATCTATTCTGTTTAATTTCAACAAATTTTTCAATTTGATTCGAAAAAATATAGCTATTGTAAATAACATAGCAATATTCTCCTTAACCATATCATAGATATTGTTCTTTTAGGGTTATCAAATGTAGAATTGATTGGGAATAGAGAGTTTTAGAAGTTGATGATTTTTGAATTAAAAATAATCGTTTAAAAACCAAGTCTAATGGACAAACTCTCTCCTGATAATCAAATAATTCTTTTTGAAGCTATCCGTCGCTATTACCCACAGTCAGAAAATAAAGAAATCGTATTATCTATGATTTTCCAGTGGTATAACGAACATGCAACACAATTCCTTCCTGCAAAGGAGTTAAGAGCTATTTGCATGGATTATTATGACTTTAACAAACAAGTTACCCAGCCAAATGCCAACCACGTTTTTAGTTTTAAGACGTTTTAAATTTCAAGTATGTCTATTCACCAAAATCATATACATCACCTATCTCTACAATTTTAATCACAATCTTAATCGATTGTCTTATTATACAAAATTGGAATAAATATGTTTGTTTATATATTTACTGTTTTTTTATTCTCTTAGTATGCTAAGATATGTAATGAATGTTAGTGTTAGTTGTGTAAACGTTATTAATATGTAATAATATTAATTCATTAAGTTTTTGTAAAAAGTAATGAATGGTAAAACAACAAACAAAATTTTTTACTTATAGCTGAGCTTTCTTCCGATTCTCATCTATCTTACTCCACAAATCATTCTGATTTTGGGTCAAATCATCCATATTGTAAGAGAAGAAACATGTAGAATCGATAGTTCCATATGCGATCATACCGCTAATTTGATTTTGGTTTGCCGAAGAAATTGTTATTGGTGCTATCGATTTATAAAGTGTAAGTGCTGCTGCTGGATCTTCAGTTGAATTTTTAGTCTCTTCTTGTTTCTGAACGATACTCTCTAATTCTTCAACGCGATTCTTTAAAAATTGCCTTTTCTTGATTAATTCTTCTTTTGCTTGTTTTAACTTTTCTATTTCGAGTTTCTGCGAATTTGAACTAATTTTGTCACTATTTTTGAGTTTTTCTTCTTCTTCTCGAAGAGATTGGATTTTCATCTGAAGTTCTTTTGTCTTTTTCGTATTTTCATCTTGCAAATTATAAATATGAGCGTCCATCTCAACTTTCTTATCCTTGATTTTCTCGCATAAGTCTCTTAATGTTGGCGAAACTTCGCCCCCAAACATTTTTTAAACGTACACTTTCTGCTCAAATCATAGAATTTGTATGAATAATAAACATTTAGAAACTAGATGATTTAAATTAGTGAAAAGGATCTATTTAAGAACGAAATCTCGTATAATATTAAAAAATGAGAGAATTGAAGAATAATAATCGACTTAAATTGAGCGATTTCACTTAGCTTTCAAGCAAAAATGGTTTTGAATGAAAAATAAAACATTTTCTATTTCAAAAAAAATCAAGTTTTTGGTTTTCTATTATTAAAAAGTCTAAAATTCTTTTCATTTTTTAATTTTTGAAAAAAATTTGGAATTTTTTTTGTGCTGCTTTTTGATTTTGATAAGCAACATTAGTTACACATAAGATGTATTTAAAAAATATACATCAAATAGAAAATTTTTGAATATTATTTGAGATTTTTATAATTTGCCAAACAATGAGTAACTTAATCCCCTAATCTGCACCTTGAGCCTTATTTTCTATATCATTGATCATATCATTTATCATTTTACAATGTATTTTTATTGATTAATTCAAAAATAGATCAACATCCAAATAGCATGTCATTTCCCAATCAGAAGGTAAGTCATACACATTTAGCCAGCATGTAAATTTCAATCAATATGTTGATACATTTAATTACAAGATAAATAAATCATTGTATGTTCATTTTTAACATCTATTACATTATCAAACATAATTGAGTTCATGCATTACCTTCGTTTTTAATTCTAAACGTGCAACAATTTGAGATCTATACTGAAATCTATGTTCACACCAATAATTATACGATAAATTTTGATATACATCATATTTACATTACTTTTGGCAACAAATATTTTTGCAAAATCCTCGCTAATAAAATTTTCAGAGTGGATGAGTGAATCCTTGTCTCAGCAGGCCATAGGATTCCTCAATTCACTTGGTATCACACAATTATCACGATCAGATCATTATAATGTTACACATTACGGTGAAATGCATAATACAGAAAATCTTGAAGAAATATCAAGGTTAATTCATGAGAATCCAACAGATTTTAAAAAACTAGTATCCATTCTCCGAAACATCAGAGATTGTGGCGAATATACCGAGTTTTTTGCTCTACTAGAAAGTAACGATCTCCCGCTTGATATATTCATTCCTTTATGTATGAAATTTATAACGAAAGAAGATATATTAGCTCAAATATCATCAGTTTTATATGGAATACTCCTCGGATATCGTCCTATTCAACATAATTACAACGAAATTTTGATTCAGAAAGTAATTCATAACATAATTAAAGCGTCAAATTCAGTAGAACTAAAGAAAGATATCACTGACGTCGACATTTCTTACGTTTCCATAGCAGATGGCTTTTTTAGTGAATTTTCTTCAGCAATTTCAGCAGATTTCATCAATATCGCAACGCGTGAAGTATATACAGCCTTCATAGAACTATCTTTTAAGATAGGATCTACAATGACAAAGCAAATTTCACAATACGTTCCAAATTTAGAAGAAAATGTCATGAAATTCATACAATCAGCATTACAAATAAGTCCAGATTACGTTGCGCCTCATGTTGTATCATTTCTTGTTGCAGACAACCTACCAAAGAACCAAAGAGTTCAAAAATTTCGAGAAAAAATTATAGAATCAACGATGTACTCATTACAAGGCTCAGATTCAACGCTAACATTGATTTGTCAACACTTAACAGTCAGATGTCCTGATAGAGCAGCCATGAGAGAGATGATTAGTCAAACAATTAAATCATTTTTTAATGCAATACATGATAAACAGAAATACACATCATATCTCATGAAATGCATCAAATCAACTAAGATGAGTCTAAGAAATGTCTCTTTAGAAGTCCTTTCAGTGCTAATTCCTTATTTTGATTTGAATTTTATAAATGAAATTACAGAAATTTTGAAAAAAATGACGACAGAAGTTCATCCGAATATCAAATCGCTGGCAATCGGTGCATTATCATCTATTGTTGAATATACAGGTAACACAGATTTCTTTGATGTCCTAAAACACTCACTTTTGGATGAAAAAGTTGTTGTAAGGAAAAGTTCTTTAAATTTTTTGTCAATTTTGATCAAAAAAATTAATGAAGAAAATTCGGAGATACTAGAACTACTCAGCCAAAGAACAAGGGACAAATCTCCTTTAATAAGACATGAAGCAATCAAAATGCTCTCAGATTATTTCACAAAATTCATTTCGGAAAAAACTTTTTTCGTTTTTTTGGATTCTGTTTTGCCAAGAGTTTTAGATGATGATAAAAAGATTGTAACATTCTCAACTCAAATGATTGAGACCCATTTCCTTAGTGACATCAATTTGTCGATGAAATATTCGAGTGTTTTTGATGAAAACATTGTTGAAAATTTAAGAAGTTCTTTGCAAATTATTAAAACAAATTCACAAAAACAAATCAAGAATTTTGCAAAGTTGATTTCAAAGAAACTTAATGGAGATGTTGATGGAGGCTTCTGGGCTTTGGCAGATGTGATAAGCGAGTTCGAAACTAAGCAATTCAACAAAGATTTGTTAAAAGATCTCTGGCCAAAAAGACTCTCAATTTCACATCACTTTTTGTCAATTTGTTCGAAGCATGCAAACAAAACATGGATCAAAGATGCTATGAATGATGTTACTAATATATCCAAAGGTAATTTGACATGTAATTACGGACATATCAAATATTTGGTGGAAATTTCTGGTTCCGATAAAGAAAATACGAAAATTTTCAGAAATTTGTTCAAAAAGTGTCTTGAAAAGAACATAAAAGATAATGATTGCATTGTTTACTTGGTTGGCTGCTTGTCATCATATTTCACTCTTGAAAACAGAGATGAAATTAATCCATTGATTGATATTTGTTTCGACAAACAAATTGACAACAAAATCAGATCAATTGGAATTTTGTCACTTGGAAAATGTCTATTAACAAAGAAAGAAGTTGCTCAAGATGTAATAATTTTGTTATCTAATGATTTGACTTCTGATTCTCATTCAACAATTAAAATGAATGAAATAACTGCTTTGTCAGATTTATTAATCAAATATGGTACTTTCGCAAGCGTTTTTATTGATAATGCTTTGAAGTTATTGATTGATGGAGAAGATATTGTTAAAAGACATGTTCTTGTAATGATAACACGCTTAGTAACAGAAGATTACATCAAAGTGAAATCGAATTTATTTTTCAAACTTTTGAAGAGTTTGTTAGATGAAAATCCAATGATTTCTAACTTTGCTTCATCATGTATCTTTGATCTGATTGTTCCCAAATCATCAAAGATATTACTATTTCTCTCAGATGCTGTTTCATTTTACAATTCTCCTGATGTCGGAATTTTCGGAGTTAATATTCAAGAGAGGAAGAAAATTTATGATTTTTGTGTCGACAGAATGACTGATATCCAATGCTGGTCAACAATACAAACACTCTGCTCTAAATATATTGATCATCACATGACTGTTGATACATCACATATGAGAGATAGCTTGACAATTATTGGTATTTGTTACCAAGCAATTATTTCTAGAAGTTCAACATCAAAAAGTGATAATTTGAATGAAACCGAATCACAAGAACTTAGTTCTTCACAAGAATCAAGGAATGATGGAAGAGAAAGTATCCAGAAGTTGTTAGTTATCATACAACAACAGATTATCAAAGTTTTGTTACCGAAAATGATTGATTTACATTATCATTTGAGGTCAACAAATTCTCCATTGCAAGGCGATTTAAAGAAACTAATGTCACTTATTGTTAGAAGTGATTCATCTTTCTTGCAGTACATAGAAATGATTGATAAAACACTTAGTAATGAATTGAAAATTTATCTCCAAAGAACTCCAGAAAATGAAGATCCGAGTTTGCCTCCTTCTCCTTCGGTTAGAAGAGTCTTCTCTTCATCTCTTTTGACAAGATTAGCAGCAAGAGGATCCCCTGCAAGACAGACAACAAACTCAACACCAAGTAGATCTCAAACACCAGATGATTTTTCAATTTTGCTCAAGAGAATGCCAAATTTAGACGAAGATGAGTGAAATACTATATTTGTTTATATATATTTTATTAATAATAAAATGTTTTTTTATTCCTGTTTATAGTAATTATAGCTTATCGACGCAATTTTATTTTTAAATCAGAAAAAAAAAGAATCAGAATTTATCGAAAATAATAAAACGTCCAACATAATGAATGTATTAATAATAATTAAATTGTTTTCAAGATAATTTTTTTTTCTGAATTTTTGGCGAATTATTAATGTCAAGAACTAAAACTCGACACTAATTACACAAATGCATTCTAAAATACTCTTAGATATTATAAATTCGATTTTTTGGCTTATTTTTTTCAGTCGTTTCGATCAAGTTGCATGATAGCTATTAATAAATTCATGACATTGAAAAAATAATTAACATGCATTGTTGACAGGTTAACAATTAAGCAAATTAATTTAGTCAAAAATTGCAATTTCATTTAATCTTCGACAAATTCATGATATACTAGATTTTCTGCTTTATTAAATGAAAAAGCCATATCCTATTTGGATCATTTAAATTGTTATAAAAAAATTATTTTATACCCAGATTTTTCTAACTTTTACCACCCCCTCAGGTATTTGTGAGAAAAACGATTATTATATTTTTTTATGGAAGAATAGCTCGCTTACCTAGAAAGGACCTCACATCTCTGACTAAAAAGAGTCTCGGATCATAAATAGGTTTGTGATCCAGTAAGCAAATCCAACAAAAAGTCTATTTTTTGCCTTTTTTGGCGCTCATTTTATCGCATATACACATGAATATGTGGAAATCATTGGATCTTTTTAGGTAATCCATATATCCATGTAGTCTGGATCATCTTTCCTCGTAGGACCTCTTTACGGGTGCGAATACCCATAAAGTTCTCAAAAGATTCATTTATCATCTCCATGTTGAAAGAACTTGCGCCAAAAATGATATCTACGCAACAAACTACAGGCATATATGAACTAAATTCATAAAGCTCAGCTCTTAATTTACCAAAAACGTCGAAATCTTACTCATTGCAATTGCATTTTCTCAAAAGCTCAGAAGAAATACAAGATTTTGATTAAGCCGATGTTATAGATATCACAAATACTACATACTTACGCAATATCAAAATTGCAGGTAAAAGTTTCTTATCATTATGCTCATATTTGTTTTATAAACTAAAAATCTACTTATATTATTCACTAAATTTTTATATATTATTCATATACTTTAATAATTACAATGCTATTTCACTTTCAAAATGAATTTCGTAAATCAATATTATTTTTTTGAAAATTTATCCATTTTAGATGAAAACAACATGAAAATAAAATTTACGTAAAACAATATGCAAAATAGTTTTAAAAAGTGGTTATTGATAATAAGAAAGTTTATAGTTTGCTTTGAAGTTTATTTTTAGAAAAAAAATTAGGATCCTATAATTAAATCAAAATAAAGAGTTATTTTAGAATCTATATTATCCATAAAACAATTATTTACATTTGTATTGGCTTTTTAATATTTTGAATAAAATTCAATTCCGCATTCTTAAAGATTTTTAAAAAATAGATAAATACAAAGATAGTATATATGCAGAAGATTTAGAATGTGAAGCAAATCAAATAAAGGACAATCAAATTTTCAAGAAGCAAAAAAGGAAAAAAAATAGCATATAGGCAATTGAACCTGAGCAAATATATCCAATTTGACAATAAGTTCCGCTACACTACGCAACAATCCCCGAAAGTTGCCTAGGAGGTGACATTTAATAGCTTATCGCAACGATAGGCGGTTTCCCCAGCCTTAGAGGGGTGGTAAAAGTTAGAAAAATATGGGTATTTTTAATTATTATTTAATTATTTAATAAACAAACAATTCATATAAATAAGGCCCTATTTCCCTTTAAAAATAAAATTATTTTTTGAGCTCTTGTATTTTTTCCAAAACTAATTTAGCTAACTGAATTTCTTCTTCTAAAGCTTTATTCTCTGACATCAAGCGCGTTCTATGATCTAAAAGGCTTAGAGATTTTGTCCTGAGCAAAAAATTGGTTTCTTCCAAATTGTTTAGATAGTCTTTTCTTCCTTCGCGCCATTTTCTAGCAGTGAGTCTGTTTTTTGTCTTCGAATCTAATTGATCATACTCAATTAATTTTTGAATCTTTGGATCGGCGTAATCAACAGCATTGCAAACTTTAAATGGTCGGGTTTCTAGTTTCGGTATTGTTGGAAATTGAAAATGTGGAATGTCGCTTTGAATATCCATGAAAATTGTTTTCGTCATTATGGTTTTATATTTGAATAGTAATTGAATTATGAAAAAAAGATAAAATCTTCATGAATATGATATGGACCATATGTAATAATTTATTACTTATTTATTAAAAATTTCAAGAGCTCACAATTATAATAAGTCAAACTACAAAATGATGCACAATTATCTCTCAATATAAATTCTGCGCTTTTTAAAAATTTACCATTAGTATTCAAATATCTTTGACTTATAATTGAATTAGTATTGAACATTTCATGTTAATTTGTCTGGTTCGTATACTTTTTGTAATTTTTAACTGAGTATTCGACAATTTTTATTGATCTGAAGTTTACATTCCTCAGTTGAAAATTTTATACAACCATATGCAGTTACGATCCAGAGTCGAGGGATATACACATGTCCATACACATACCTTACCTTCTTATGTATCAACCTTACTACTCACAATGAACTAGCCATTGCAAATGGTATTTGAAATTAATTATATTTGAGGTAATTTTAGTCATGCAATATTGACCAACACAATATCCTATTATAAATACATTATAATTCTATATTTGTTCGTTTCAAATTCCATTTCCAATAGAAGTACCCTTTATCTACTCATTGAATATCTCACATCCTAGGAATGAGCCTCAATCAGCGTCAGAATTTAAAATTATATAGAATCATTAAAAAGATCTTTGATTATTTTATATTCCGTGTTACTCTCAAAATTATGAAATTTTTAAAATAATTACGTCATAATAATTAAATTTTACATTTTGATATCTGCTAAATGCAAGCATACATTTTACCTAATTATAAAACAATTTCTTCATTATTTTTGAATTATCAAAAAACTCGTTATTTTAATGACTTTTGATGCTTTTGCCCGCGGCAAGAGAGAAACAACTGATACTGGTCCTGGAATGTATAACATTCCTAGTACCATAGGTGCTGGTCCAAAATTCTCAATTCGTGGCCGTTCTACAGAACTTAAACCACAATATGCCCCCAAATATTACCTTTTACCTTCCACATTAAATAAAAATGGCATAAACATCGGTCATGAGCTTAAATTTAAGAAAGATTTTCGTCAAACAGCAGTTTCAGAACCAAATTTATATGCAATTCCTTCTACAATTGGTCAAGGACCAAAAGTATCAATCAGACCTAAAATGTCATCGAAAACAGAGATAACACCAGGCCCAGGGCAGTACGATCCTAAAATTAATGATAAAGGACCTGCTTTTGTTGTTGGAGTTGGACGTCGTTTCGATTTCATACAGGATAATATCTTAGTTCCTCCCGGATCTTATGACATCCCATCTACTATGCAACCACGTGCTGTTATTAATCATGCAGATCATGGACCAACTAGAAGGCCAAAGTTTCAGAAGAAACAGCATCCAGGTCCAATTTATGATGTTGTTCAACCATTTGGACACGATGCAAGAAGATGCCAGTTCCCAAAGAACAAAACAGAAAAATCAATTCCGAAAACTCCAGGTCCTGGTGAATACGAAGTTCTCAAGCCATTTGGAGAGTCATCGAAGCGAATTTATACCACAATGCACGTCAGAACTAAAGAAAGAAGTAGATCTGTTTTTGATGTCCCTTATTACGATATTCCTTCTACAATTGACAATAAGAAGAAGATTCATATGTTATCTAGACCACCAACTTCATACGAAACTCCTTCCCCTGGACCTGTTTACGATATTCCAACGTCAATTGTTCCTCGACCAATGACTATTGGTGTTAAAACTGAGAAGAAGAACCCAATGAGCGATATTCCAGGTCCTGACGCATACTTCAGCTCTGATGCTCCTAAAGATATCAGCGAAGACGTTGTTTGCCCTCTTGACGGACCATATGCAAGAGATATTATCAATTATAAGGAAGTTTCAAGTCTTCCTGGTCCTGGACAATATGATGTTGACGCTGGAGAAAAGAATAAAAAGAAAGGATTCACAATTTCGAATCGTGACCTTAGTCCTTCACGTCCAGATACATCAGCACCTTATCGACTATTATCATCTACTCTTGGCGGACCATCTTATACTATTAGTCTCAAAGATTATTAATTTTTATTTTCTTATCATCTTGTTTTGTTTGATTTAAATTGTTTTTATCTTGAATATTTATATTTTTAGTTGCTTGTTATTTCAAATCATCTCCTTTATTGCATTGTTGTGAACCTCATTCCATATGAAAAAACTAAATTCCTTATATAGAGGGACCATATTGAAGAATGCTAAGTTGTTTTTAAGGATGCACATACCACTTTTTGACATGCTCCCATAATATCAATATATCTTTATTGTGATTGCAAAAAAGTATAACAGTAATATAAGGTACAAAGTAGTTATTTAAAATAACTTCTTCCCGAACAAAGTTAATGACTTTTTAACTTAGAAGAATTGGATAAAAAACTAGAATGTCAAAAAATTGAGAGAATGTCAGAAAGTGGTAAGTGCACCCTTAATTACTATTAATATCTTTCCAAGAATACATGTCAATCAAAGTAGAATTCTCGTAATTCTAAAAAATAATATCCCGACTTTTTTCCCCCATGACGGAAAATTAATGGAAAATCGAATATTTTAAATTTTAATAATTTATGCTTATAATAGTGATTTGTACAAAATATACTAGAAAATTTTGTGAGATCGACTTTCCATTAATTTTCCGTCATATTGAATAAACCGGTACAAAATTTTTAGTAAAGTTACGACTTTTATTATTATCCATGTCGGGCGGTCTTGAAGTGAACCTTGAGTATATGGCTGCACATATCAGTGATTTTATTACAGATGAATATTTCTTTGAATCATTCGAACTCGAAGACATCAAAAATATCATGAAAAATTCAAATTTCAATACAAATGATTTCACATTTTTGATTGAACTGTCATATCATACAATTAAGGCACATAAATTATATCTTTGCGCAAGAAAAGCAAATGTTTGCGTTCAAAACATGGAAGATGTCATTTTAATATTGAAATCAATCAGAAAGAACATGAAACTCCGAGTTCTTAATAGTATCATTGACTATTTAGATCGTGAGAAAAAATCGCTTGGATGCCAAGAGAAAGTCCAAAAACTACAATCTCAAATTACTCAACTTAATGAAATATATAATCAGAGCTTAGTTATCCCAAGGATTACAGAACTTAAGAAATCTAATGAGTTTAACGATATATACAATTTCTTGGATCAACTTTCATCTCTTGAAAATAATCAAATGCTTTCAAGAGCATGTGATGAAGGGCTTTGGAAAAAGAAAGATCCTAAATTCTGGTATAATCATTCAATGAATGTTCTTAATACTGCATGTGAAAGAGGAAATCTCAGACTTGTCAAATCTCTAATTGAATGTGGCTGCATGTCTGATAATGATGAAATTTCTCCACTCAATTATGCTATAGAAAATGGTAAACCTGAGATTGCCCAATATCTCATTTCTGCTGGTGTTAATAAAGAAGCAAAGAATAAAAATGGCGAAACACCAGTATTTCAAGCATTAGAAAATGGCTAACTTGAAATTTTCAAATATCTTATCTCTTCAGGAGCTAACAAAGAAGCAAAGAATAAAAACGGCGAAACTCCACTCTTTTTGGCATCAAGAAATGGTCAACTTGAACAAGTCAAATATCTTATCTCTGCAGGAGCTAATAAAGAAGCAAAGAATATACATGGCGAAACTCCACTCATATCTGCCTCAGTAAATGGTCACCTTAGTGTTGTGAAATATCTTATCTCTGTTGGCGCTAATAAAGAAGCAAGAGATGATGACGGAAATACTCCACTCATTTTTGCTTCATCAAGGAATAATCTTGAAGTTGTTAAGTATTTAATCTCAATTGGTGCTAATAAAGAAGCAAAGAATTATAATGGGACTAATTCACTCATTTTTGCCTCAATGTTGGGACACTATGAGGTAACCGAATACCTTATCGCAATAGGAGCTGATAAAAATACTAAGAATGATGATGGATATACCCCACTCATTTTTGCATCAAAAATGGGAAATTTTGATATTGTAAAATATCTTATCTCTGTAGGAGCTAATAAAGATGCAGAGAATAATAATGGAGAAACTGCGCTCGATAATGCTCTTAATACACAAATTAGAGAATATTTGCTTTCTATGAAGTTTGACTATTCTAATTAAACTTCATAGACAATGTCTCCCACGATGACACATAGCACACAATAACAGTGCACTGTTGCACTTTGTTGACAAAAGATACACAATCAGAAGAAGATTGTGTATGAATGTGTCATTCTGGGAGACTTGCATAGACAATGTCTCCCACGATGACACATAGCACACAATAACAGTGCACTGTTGCACTTTGTTGACAAAAGATACACAATCAGAAGAAGATTGTGTATGAATGTGTCATTCTGGGAGACTTGCATAGACAATGTCTCCCACGATGACACATAGCACACAATAACAGTGCACTGTTGCACTTTGTTGACAAAAGATACACAATCAGAAGAAGATTGTGTATGAATGTGTCATTCTGGGAGACTTGCATAGACAATGTCTCCCAAAATGACACATATAGATAAATAAAAGCGTAATATGCTATTTTGTGTTTCAAAGTATTACAAAATGATTCTTCTAAAAGTTGCCCAGTGAACAACAAACACGTGTATATTCATAAATAACACGTGTTTATCGAAGACATAGACAACAATTGTCTATCAATTGTTGTCTTTGATTCAACTTTGACAAGAATCACAAATGATTCTTATCAAAGTTGCTCAGTGAACAACAAACACTTGTTATTGTTTATAATTCAAGTGAATGTTGTACACAAAGACAACAATTGTCTATCAATTGTTGTCTTTGATTCAACTTTGACAAGAATCACAAATGATTCTTATCAAAGTTGCTCAGTGAACAACAAACACTTGTTATTGTTTATAATTCAAGTGAATGTTATACACAAAGACAACAATTGTCTATCAATTGTTGTCTTTGATTCAACTTTGACAAGAATCACAAATGATTCTTATCAAAGTTGCTCAGTGAACAACAAACACTTGTTATTGTTTATAATTCAAGTGAATGTTGTACACAAAGACAACAATTGTCTATCAATTGTTGTCTTTGATTCAACTTTGACAAGAATCACAAATGATTCTTATCAAAGTTGCTCAGTGAACAACAAACACTTGTTATTGTTTATAATTCAAGTGAATGTTGTACACAAAGACAACAATTGTCTATCAATTGTTGTCTTTGATTCAACTTTGACAAGAATCACAAATGATTCTTCTCAAAGTTGCTCAGTGAACAACAAACACTTGTTATTGTTTATAATTCAAGTGAATGTTGTACACAAAGACAACAATTGTCTATCAATTGTTGTCTTTGATTCAACTTTGACAAGAATCACAAATGATTCTTATCAAAGTTGCTCAGTGAACAACACCCATTAATTCTTTTTGATATTACACATTAGGCTAACCAACCACACCAGTCATTTTATTTATATAGCTTTTATCCGTAACATTTTTAAAGGATTTCAAATAATTTACTTTTTCAAATATTTACTAGTTAATATCTCAATCAATTTATCCTCTTATTTATATTTTTAAAAATTTTCATCTCCATCACCATTCAATTTGGAATCTCATTTTTAAAATATCTTAATATAATCAGAATTTTATTAGTAGGTTAAAATATTTGCGAATATTAATTATTTGGATCAAAGCTTTCATACGATTACATTAATTTTTTTAATCGAAATTCTATTTCATTACTACTCAATTTTAAATCATAGCAGCATTAATAGCTCATCTACTTATATTCCATCATAATGTTATTTTATTCAATTTTTATATATCTGATTTTCATATTTTTTCAAATTCTGTCGCAAAATCTTTAAAATTGTTATATTTCCTTACAACACGGTTAATATAGTATTCTCCTTAACTTGTTTAAATGCAATTTTGCAATATTTGGAAATGATCAAAATATCCTAATGTAAACGTTTGCTCTTAGAATTCAGTGTCATAGTCGATTGTTTCTAACAAATTAATCTTTTTTGCATTGATTTTCGAAGTATTGCATTTTCATTACGGCCAAATCTGCTCTCTTTCATTAGATTGATAGCTCACAATAGTTCTTGTAATCAGAGAGGAAATATCTTACGAAATATACCTCTAAATTTTCACTTTATAGATAAATGTTATATTTTTCCGTTACTCGATTATTGTCCAATAAAACCACAATCATATTAAACTTCGTCCAAAATAAACAATAAAGAATAGTTTTTAAGTTTCTTAAACGGTTTATGAAGGTTCATATTTAATCAATTTTTTTATTTTCAATTCATGTATCTATAGTTCGTTAGTCTATCATCCCTTCATAAATTATCTGCAAAGAATTTTGTAGAATCTCAACTCTGTGAGGAACTACAATAAATTGAAAAGTCATTTTGTGATATCAAAATCCAATATATTATTCTTTCTAATACATATTAATAATATCTTGAGATGTAGTACACTATATATATACTTTCAAAAATCTTATATGTTTATTAGTTATTGAGAAAGAAGCGATTTAATTCTTTGAAAATCGACGAAAAGTGCCATATTCATAAAATTATAGGGTATCTAATATATATCATAGAAATGAAAGAATAATAAAAATCAATGAGACACATATTACTTTTGATGAAAACTCCGAGTTTCTTATGCCCAAATATGAAGTTATAAGTGAATGTGCCTTTAAAGATTGTGAAAATCTCAAAAATGTGAAATTCCCAAACACATTAAGAATCATTGAATCAGGAGCTTTTGATAATTGTTAAAACCTAATAATGATTGAATTTTCAGAAAATCTCGAAGTAATTGGAAGTAAAGCATTTAAATCTTGTTATAATCTTTCAATAATTGAGAATTCGCTTGTTATAAAAAAAATTAATAATTCAGCTTTTCACAATTGCCAAAAATTGTCTTAAATTACCTTCGGAAATAATATTGAAGTTATCGAAGAGTTTGTATTTAGTAATTGCAACAGTATTTCTCAAATTGATATACCAAACTCAATAAGAATTATCAAAAAAGCAGCATTTTGGAATTGCAGCAATCTTACCAGAATTGCATTTGGAAAAAATCTTGAAGTAATAGAAGATTCTGCCTTTGAAAGTTGCTCTTTGTTAAGAACCGTTATATTTTCAGATAATATAAAATTTATTGACAATTATGCATTTTGTTATTGTGGCTTAATCGAAATATATTTACCTAAAAATCTAACTATAATTAATAAGGGACTGTTTCGAAATTGTCGGAAATTAAAATCAATAATTTTACCAGAAAAAGTAGAAATTATCAATGAAAATGCATTTCAATCTTGTAAGATTACTTCTATTACTATACCTGAATCATTAAAAGTAATCACAATGAATGCATTTTTATATACAAATATAAAATACATTACATTTCAAACCTCAAATTTTGACATTTTTATTAATTTTACTGATCATAAAGAAGTTGAAGGAATTGAATATGAATTTCCTAATTTGACAATTCTAAAACCATTTCAGTTTATGTGTTTGAATATGATACAAGAACATAAACTCATTTTTTAAATCTTTCTAGGTATTTGCCATTATATTTAAAGCCACTTATGTGCCCACATAGACTAACAACTATAGTAAATATATTTTTATTAAATAAAAACAAATCTGTATCCTCTTAAGAACACATCACAATTCAAAAAATCATATATAGTATAATATCTATTTACAAACAAGTAATAAAACATATCAATTTGAAGAATCATCTGAAATTATAGCAAGAATTCTCTCGGCAATTTCATATCCGTCCGAATCCGATTCAGAATAATCTGAAATGATATCAACAAAATCCGAGCAGTCTTTATATCCTTCAAAATTAGGTATTTCTAAAAATAATTTTTCAATTGCGCTCAAAATCATCGAAGATAGTTGTTCATTCGTTTCATCTATCATAGAAATGATATAGTTGAATGAGTTATTCGCTAAAAACATTGATCTGATTTCTTCATTTTGGAATAACAAAGCTTCACAAATAATTTGCGTGCAAAGATTGCGAATCACAAATTTCTGGCCATTGGAATATCTACAGATCTCTTGAACTAAGTTTTCGTTCAGAAAAATATTCAAATGAATATTATTATTCCGAATTAAAGCCAAAATAAAGTTCAGAGCTTCAATACTGATATCAGAGTTTGGTCTAATTATGCATACAAGCTTTGAACAGAGAATATCAATGTCTACAAGGCCCCAAAAATCTGTTTGAGAAATTACAAGTAAAATACTTAATCCTGACTTAACAGTATTAATATTAAACGCAGTAAGAAAGTTAAAAGCATGATCTATCACGTCTAATTCAATTGCTTGCTCAATTGCTTCTGGATAATTTGTAATTAAATGTGCAAGGCCAACAGCAGCATCTGCTTGAGCTACTTGATTACCATGCTTGATATTCTCGCTGAATAATGAACAAGCACTCTCCATTATTGGTAATGAAGTTCTAAATTCACATAATTTCGATAAAATTCGCAACGGTAAATTAAAATCACCTTTCCCACCAAAATCTGATATTAGGGCAATCAAATGAGCAAGAAAATCACTGTTTTCATCAATATGTTTTATTACGTTTTCTGAAACGATCATATTGTTGATTGTAACGAATGCATGGGCCCTACTCATTGTAAGATTGGAACAAACGATCTGTATAAATAAATTTAAAATTCCTAAGTCGATTAAAGCAAATGAATATGATTCTGATAAAGAAGAGAGCTTTGATATTGCTAGTATGTAAGGCCTAAGAGTAGAATCATCAAGATTTGGATTGGTCAATAGAATTGAAATTGATCTGATTAATGCTCTCGGAAAGTACGAATTTTCTGGCTCAATATCGGTTTCAACAGGTTGAATCGTGCAAATGTAGTTGAATTGCTTGATATATTCTGATGAAATCACTTCATCATCATCAGGAAATGAATCTAGAAAAGAATTCAAGCTCATTGTCTCTAAGTTATTTGCTAAGTTTCTATTGAGGGATAGAACAGTACTACTAGAGTATAATTCTGGGACTTTATACTCCATAAAGTTACCCAAAAAAATCTCGAAAAATTTTTGCCAAAAAGCAAAATTAACTTTACATGGCAAAAATATTGTATCGATTTTTATTTTTATTTTTTTATATTGCTACTGTAATAAACAGAAATTCATCAAAAGTGACAGCTCTCAATTTTTTGACATTTCTAAATTCTAAATTGAATGAGAAAAATGAAATAATACTAAGCATAATACAATATTCTAGATTTAATTATAATTAGGAAAAAGTCAGTTTTGAGAGTACTTTTCATAGGCATATAGAATGAAATCTTCTGAAAAATAATATCATATAAACTCATATTATTTTCTAATATATAACTATTTTATATAAAAATCAAATTCAATGATCTTAAAAGCGAAGGATAAACCTCAAAATTTACGAATATAATGAGTGGGAATATAATGCTTATCTATCATAAAACCATATGAAATATCAATTTTTGCTTTACGCCTAATTTTTGACGACAATTAGCAAAAAATGTTAAATGTTAACACTCAGTCCATTTGAATATGAAAAATAAAATTGACTTTGATTAAATGTTTTTATTTATCATGCAATTCTTCTTGCGACCAAAGATTTGAATAAAAGTTCAAAAAAAAAAGATAGCTTAAAAAATAATATACGGTAGTGTTTACTAATAGATGAATAGTATATAAATTCTATTAAAATGGATTTGATCCAAAAAAATATATAAAATTTGATCATAAATAAAATCGTTTTAAATTACTTCTTCATTTAAATTATAACAATTATTTTTGGTTTTATATTTTTTTGGATCAAATCCATTTTAATAGAATTTATATACTATTCATCTATTAGTAAACACTACCGTATATTATTTTTTAAGCTATCTTATTTTTTGAACTTTTATTCAAATCTTTGGTCGCAAGAAGAATTGCATGATAAATAAAAACATTTAATCAAAGTCAATTTTATTTTTCATATTCAAATGGACTGAGTGTTAACATTTAACATTTTTTGCTAATTGTCGTCAAAAATTAGGCGTAAAGCAAAAATTGATATTTCATATGGTTTTATGATAGATAAGCATTATATTCCCACTCATTATATTCGTAAATTTTGAGGTTTATCCTTCGCTTTTAAGATCATTGAATTTGATTTTTATATAAAATAGTTATATATTAGAAAATAATATGAGTTTATATGATATTATTTTTCAGAAGATTTTGTGTTCTTCTTCAAAATTTTATTTTTTTATTAAAAAGAATCTTTACAAAATATACATTTACTTTAATTAATATTTAAAAACGTGCTCTATCAAAAGTTCCAAAAATTCAATATTTTAGCTTTTCTGAGGTGTCACTTTTGATGAATTTCTGTTTACAACACGATCAACGCATTTAGATAATTTGATGAAATCCAAAACCTCATCCTTTTCAAATTCTTCAATGAATTCACCTTCATTACTCAAAACACAGTCACCAATGAAAAATAATACATCTACATCAAAATATAATTCATCACTTAATTCTTCATTCATTAGTAAATCGCCAATTCAACATCGTTCAGGAGAATTTGATGCAAAACTTTTCTCATCGCCAATTTCAAGTACATCCAAATACAATTCAACAACAAGTAGAAGTTCTACCATTCGAACACCAAAATCCGCTTCAAAAACAAAAGGTATTTCACAAGGTCAAAGTTTATATTCTTTTGATTACGGGTTCGTATTAGAAGTCAGAAGAATTGATGCAAGGAATAAGATACAGTCAGAAGTTTGAATGTAAATACAAAAAATTACAAATTTAGAATTATTCTTATTGAACAAGCTTCCACATGTTTAAATACATCTTTTCTTATATATGTGGATCCAAATTGATCAATTAATCATATTATTTCAAGTTTATTATAATTGATAAAGTCCTCAGACCTGTAATCAACTAGATTCCATTTGGTATTATATAAAATGATGATTAGATTATGAATAATAGCTATATATTGAATTTTTGATGTTAATTCATGATATTTATACTTTGTTTTATTTTTTAGTTCGTTTCTATAAATAACCAAGAGCTTTCTTTCTTATTTTCGTATTTCTAAATCAATAAGTTTGATATTATTTAAGAATTGGATGAGAATTGATATATTTTTTAAGCATTGATTCGTTATGTGCCCTATTTACCATTCAGTTCACAGATAACTCGATATGTCTACTCATAATACAATCTTTTTAACAAATCGGTTCAGGTTTTTAGATTACAACTTTCCTTTTTGCTGCAGGTTTCATTTTTCTTCTTGAGTAAGGAAGTAAATTTGGAAAATTGTTTTCACTTTAGGAGAATATAATTTTCCATTTGGAAAATTTAAAAAGTGAGACGCGCAGGATTCGAACTTTTTTAAAAGTTGATTTAAATGAATTTTAGTGTGGAATATAAGGATAATATCATATTTAAAATAAGAATATACTAGTTTAGGTGGTATTAATTTTTTGGATAAATTTGAGAGTATGTACGTTTAGGGCATGAAAAGTGTCAATTCGCTCAGCGAAAGCTGAGCTAGCTTCGTTCTCGAAAGAATAAGGAAGGAGTGAGGGAGAATGATACAGAAGTTGACACATTCATATCATTTCAACAAATTTTGATCAAATTGAAATTCAATAAAATTCAATTCAATTCATATCCTTCAGTCAGTACATTGACATCCTTCTACATCACAATGATAACTCGGGCATCAATAGTTCTACAACTAACTCAGAAAAAACAAGATTATTACTTCCTGCTTACAGCTTTTAAAAAGTTTCGATGATAAAAATCACTCTACTCTCGTTTATCGACATATGGTGATAGTAGGTAAACATATTCTTATCGATATTAATAAAAATATTTGTACGAAAATCTTATCCAATTAGAGAGTTATTCATAAAGTATATGATAATTATAATTACTTTATCTTTGTTTTATCTTTGAATAAACTATTTAATTTAAATTGCATAATATTTTTTGGTTGAAAGACAGGAAACTGAGTTGAGTTTGTATTATTTTTATCGTTTAATTCATCGTATCAGTGAGTGATACAGATGTTTAAGATATTTAGAAAAAAATTATTAATTTGATTAACAAATTTTAATCAAAATAGCAAAAATCTATTTGATAGCTGTAAACAAACAATAATTTTTATTTCAAACAAAATCACTTATTTTCATCTAAACGTATAAAATTGTCAATTTTATGAAAATAAATTGAAAATCTCATGAAATGTAAAGGAGAGTAATATTTTTCAATTTTCTTTTTTTCTTTGTCTCAAATATTTTTTGTTGGGAATTTTGCAAATTACCTCAGACTTTTCAGAGGATTGAGTTGCCACTCAATCCTCTGAAATAGTCTGTGGTAATTTTTAGTCTCTACACTATTTCAATATAAGCTCCATTTTTGAACAGTTTTTAAAAATCGAGCATTGAAAAGTGTGATGAGACTTTCTTGTTATCAAAAAATAATTTTAATATTTGTTTATTTCATTACATCCAATAAAATTTTAAAAACTCTATTTCTTCTCAAGAAAATTTTTTCCTTCATATGAAGAAACATTTTGTTCTCCATTTGATACTGAGTCTAAATCTCGATTTTTGAATTTTCTTCTTTCCAAATTTCTTTTTTCCAAATGAGAAGTTTAATTCAAATTTTCAATAGTTTATATATTTTCTCAAACCGTCTCAGATTTTCTCACTTTTTAGGGATTTTCTCTCAAAATATACAAAAATAGTAATATTGTTGCATGCTATGTTCGGTCAACGATAGGAATTGAGGGGAAATTAATCGTCGAGGAAATACGATTATGTAAAGTAAAAAATGTTTTGGAATTTTTAATATTGTATATAATTTTATAATAATATTTTTGTGAGACATTTTAAGAAGCACATATAATTTTTTGATTTTAAAAATTAAAGTAGTGTTGAATGAATTTATTGATTAATTTAATACGGATATTTCTCAAAATTAATCAAAAATAGGTTTTCAGAGAACTTTTGAGATATCTTTTCAAAATGTCTTTTTGAAAATATATAAGTATTATATCAAATTGAAAAAAGGTATTTATCAAAATTCTAAATTCTTAATAAAAAATAACTTTTCAGAGGATTGTGATTTTGAAAGCATGAGTCATAAGTAAAAAATATCTACGATTTTAAGGAGGGAATTGTTCCTTATGAGGTATACATTATAACTATATACCTCATAAGGAACAGTTCCCTCTTGATAGCTGGGAAACTTTCTCTGAATAACTTATCATTTGGAGAAAGTTTCCCAGCTATCTATTAGAAACTAAAGGCTGTGAGGCACTAATATATAATCAGTGCCTCATAGCCTTTAGTTTCTTATTAAAAACGAGAATATATATATTGTTCAATTTAACAATAAAACACAAATATATTCTAAAAAGCAATAATTCACTCTTTCTTTTGCTGAGCTCTTATCTTTGCGAGGATTTCCTTTGCTCTTGTTACAGTTACAGGCATTCCGTTGTTTAGTTCTGCAGCAACCTGGTTTATTTCGTCACCTACAGCTCCAGCCTCATGAGCGATGTTTCTGGAGTGAAGTTTCATGTGGCCAGAATTAATTCCAGTGGTAACTAGTGCTCTTATAGCTGCGAAATTGGAGGCAAGGCCAACAGAAGCAATAACACATGCAAGATCATTGGCAGATTCAACTCTAAGCATCTTTTTAATTATAGGATTTGCTGGATCTCTTCTCATTGAGCCACCAACGACACCAACAGGTAATGGAACATCGATCTCGCCAACGAGACAGTCATTTTCGATGTAATATTTGGTGAGAGCTGGATTTTCTGATGAAGATGCGTAAGAATGGACTGCTGCTTCAACAGCACGTGTATCGTTACCTGTAGCAAGTACTACTGCTGTTATACCGTTCATTATTCCTTTGCGATGAGTTGCTCCTCTGGCCAAATCTGATGCAGCGACATCTGCTGCCATAATTATACGTCTGGCAACGCTCATGCCATCAAAATCTTTTGTAGATAGAGATTTGATAGGCCAATGGGCTTCGGCATGTATAATTCTTTCGCTGGCAAGATTTGTAAGAATTCCCATCAAAGGAATATAATGAAGATGTTCTGAGATGTATTGCTCGACAACTTCGCATGCATGATTAACACAGTTGGCTCCCATTGCGTCTCCTACATCAATATGGAGTTCAACAACTAATATTCTATTTGTTGCGGTATTTACGATTCTTGCTGTAGCATCTTGAGTACCACCAGTTCTTTCAACCATCGATGGCATCGTTGAGTTCGATATTGATATAATTTGGTCTTTGATTTCCATTACCTTTGAAATTGGATCTTCTTCAGTAGAAGGAGGGATAACAATGACTTGCCCTTTGCATATGTTGCGTCCGGAATTGGTTTTGAAACCTCCGCCGCCTCTTGCAAGCTTGGCCGCTAAAGATGCTCCTGCAATTACGCTAGGTTCTTCATTTGCCATAGGTACAAGGATTTCTTTTCCATCAACGATGAAATTAGTTGCAACACCAATTGGAGTACTGTGCATAGCTACGCAATTTTCAATCATTGTATCGGCTTTGACCAAAGTCAACGAGTGATCGCTTGTTTGAATTGTTGCAATTTCCTCGTCTGTGAGGTTGAACATGTTCTTAATGATTTCTTGTCTTTCCTGTATAGATTTGTTGAAAAATCCAGGTAAAGCTGATGATATCATTGAAGAACTTTTTTTATCGTTCTGGATTATGATTTAATACGGTGAAAATAATTTTTATTATTGCTAATTACATTACATAGCAACTATATTTTTAAATTAAAATCTCAAAAACGAAGGAGAAGTTTTAACCTTAAGTTCAAAAAAGTGGCATTAATTGCTTCCTCTCTTGTTTATGCTTTGGATTTACTAAGATGCTAGAGTTAGCAAAGTATTAGTATATCCTTAAGATAAAACAATGTTTATTACATTGATTAGTATCCTTTTCCATCTGACTAAATTTAGGCAATATTTTTTTTTGGATTATGGTTAACGCATCCTGTTTCTACATTACAGCATTCAATTCATCATTGCTATTCGCCGTGTTAAGGTATAGGAAAATAGATTTATGATATTCAAAAACTTAGAGTGATTGGAAACTGCAGTTGGTGACAGGAAAAAATAGTTAGTAAAAACTATAAACAACACTATAACATATAATAGAAATAAAGTTTTACAAATAATATTATTTTGAAATTTCTTTGAGGTCTCCATCATGTGTTGGAGCATCTGATTCATCAATTGAACGATTAGGATCTCTATTTTGATCATCAGATCTTTGAGGACTTGGAGGTGAAGTTAGAAGCCTGATTTTTCTCTCGTTAAGTGTAGTTCTTTCTTTTCTTATCTTTTCAAATTCATTTGATTTATTTTCCTTCTCAGTCTCAAGTAGTTTCAGTTGATTTCCTAATTCAGTAAACTTTACATTCTTTTCTGCAAGTTCAGTAGCAGCTTTCGTCAGTTCCGCTGATATTTCAGCTGATTGTTCTCTCTCTTGATTGAGAGTGTCTGAAAATCCTTTGATTTGAATATCCAATCTTTTGATTGCAGAATTTCGATCGTCAATCTTCTTTCTACACTCATTAATCTCTGCAAATGTTTTATCATTTTCTTCCTTTTGCCTTTGAATTTGTTCAATTAATCTTTGCTTTGTGTTTTGAAGTTCTCTTATGCTGTCTGTTTCATTAACAACAGAGTTTTCACTGTCTTTGATATCGGATCTTAGCTTTTCAATGTCAGAAGCTAAAAAACTTGATCGAGATTTACTCTTTTTTAATGTATCCCTTTTCCCTTCTAAATGAACTGATTTATCTTGAAGATTTCTTTCTGTTTTACTAACTTGAAGTAAAAGATTTTTATTAGATTGTGAGATTTCATTAATTTCTTCTACAAGTCGTGTTTTTTCATTTTGTTTATCAGTAATAGTTCCAGTTAGTTCTAACAATTTACTTTTGAGTTCGTGTTTTCCTTCTTTTAACGAATTAATTCTTCCATCTAATTGTTTGTTGTTTTTATGAATTAAATTACAGGCTATCTCGGTTTCTTTAGCTTCTCTTTTAGTTTCATCGCATTTCTTTTGATTATTTTGAGCTTCAAGTGTAATTTGACTATTTTCATTGTCAATAGATTCAATTTCGCTAATTAATTCATTTAATTTGTTTTTTAGTTCTTGCAATTTCGCAGCTTCTTCATCTTGTTTTTTCTTTTCTTCGCTAATTGCCTGAGATTGGTTTGAAATTTCTGTTTCTAAATGATCAACATCGCTAGAAACACAACCATAGTTATTATGTTGTTGGAAAAGCTGCATTTGCATTTTAAGTATATCATATTTTCTATTGATGTAATTATAATTTGGATTCATTCAAAAATTTTAAAAATATTAAACCGCCATTTGTTTTTAAATCTACTTATATAAGGTAAATGTCTATCAAAAAACAATAAATATCTCTTATAAATGAATTATGATGGATAAATTTTTGCATTTTCTGCGCTCTCTGGTTACCCTATTGGGATTTTTGCAGCATCAAGCAAATCAATCAATAATTCTATATTGTTGTCCGAAATTAGTTTCGATAAATAATTTTGTAAAAATTAAAGTTGAAATTAAAGACATAAATAACAATTTATTCAGCATCTTCCTCATAATCACTGAAGACAGGGCCCTGATTGACCTCTTCTTCCTCCTCTTCTTCTTCTTCTTCAAGACCGTAAATTTTAGCGATTTCATTAGAGAACCAATCTGTTTCTAAATCGTATATCTTTGTCTCTGTATGAGGTGCAGCAACAGACTTTTTGAGATCTCGATCGCAAATTGGGACCCATCCAGTTTTTGTTGCAAGTGCCTGGAATTGGGCCGCTAGGTATTCCATTTTATCTGGATTTTCGAGAGTTTCATCTGAGAAAACTGGTGTTCCACAGTATGGACAAGGTCTTTCTCCTTCTGCACGACAAATAACACGCCCACAGTTCATACAGTTATTAATTGCTGGATGTTCAGTACCGTAGCATCCGCATTCTTTATTAAAATCGATTTCCTTTTCTGGAATGTTGACTGTAACTTGGGGCATTAATGCAATATTTGATTTCTTCTTGCCTGACTTATTTCCCTTACCGGCACGACGACGTTCTGCCTGTTCAAGGAGTTCTGAAAATTGGGTTTTAGACATTATAAATTTTGTCAAAAAATGTTGATGAAAAATTTTTTTTGGTACCAAACCAAAGACATTGTAAATAACAATATGAAACTATGGTGAATGAAATGAGCCAATTAAATTAGCAATCTTTAATGATTAAAGTGCGAATTCGGAAGAAATTTGCTCTTTTCTATAAAATTTTTCTATTTATAAGACATCCTTTAGATTGCGACATATGATAGTTGCTTGAATTGGATATATGACAACTTCTAATTCGCTTGCAATTTCCTGTTCAGATTAAATACTACAATGGAATCTAAATAAGGTGTCTTGTAGCAAAAATTAGGTAATTATTGTGAACAGACTGGACAATCCCGTTATTATATGTTTTTAAAAGAAATTTACAAAATCCTTGACATTTGAAGAATAAAGACAGTGGCCATGAGGATGGAAAAATATATATTGATCAGATATATGCAAATATTAAATGTATTCTTAAGAACATGTGATTTAATTTTTTTTAGATCAGATAAAGTTTAATTCTAAGCTTAAATACCAAAAAACGTAAACGAATACAAAAAGTAAAGACTCTATTTATTGAAATACAAACAAAATATAAAAATTTAAAAATAATTATTATTTGTAACATTCTTTCACGAAAACAAATGATAGAATATTTTTCACATGCGAGGATCTTCCAAACATGTTATCAACGCTCTTCCACAGTATTGAAGACCAGCAATAATTTTTTGAGCTTTTACAGCATCTTCTGTTTTTTCGTACTCAATTACAATTGGCGTTGGAATGATGCTAGAAAATTTCGGAAAAGTAGTTTCTGCATATGCATTCAAAACTTTTCCGTATTTCTCGCATTCTTCTTTCATATCTCCTATAACAGTGTTTACTTCTTCACTCGGAGTGTCTCTCTTCAAAACATTGTAAATTTTGAGAAATCTTGAAGATGAATAAGGTACAATCGCATCAATTGTTGCTATATCTACATCAAGATTAAATATATCAGCAATTGTTAAATCTTTTTTAGGATAAACTGAATAAAGTTTTTCTTTTTGCATTCCTTTGTTAAGATTTGTATGCATGATCTTACTTTTAATCTCGCTGATATCCCTGGGGTATTCTCCTGATTGGACAAAGCATCTCCTTGCTTGTAAGTTATGATTTAGCTTTAATTTCAAAATTACAAAATCTACGTAATCAGGATTGAATAAATCAACAATTACATAACCTAAACGTATGTCATTGAATTTGGGCATCTGAACTTTATCTACTATTGCGTATTTCGAAACAATTTCTTTGATTTCTTGACAAATTTTCTCCGATTCAAGTGATGTATCGAAAAATGACTTATCCTGTATAATGAGACCGTTAACATGCTCATGCGGAAGCGTAAGACTCGTTTCTGTTGTAGTAGCCATTGTTGATTTTCGTATTTTTAAGGTAAATCCATCAATAATGAATGAATCTTTAAGTTCTACAAACTTTTCTGCATCTTTAGGTTTCTCAAAGTCAACAAAAGCAAATTGTCCCTGAGAATTTATTGAAACTTTGTAAACAACATCAGGTTGTGATGTAAGGTTTTTCTTGAACAATGTTTGATTAATTACTTGCTTCAAGCGAGCTTCTGTAATGTTGGGAGGAAGCGAAGAAACAAAACACCTAACTATTTTACCAGCTTCAAATAAAGCAGATCTTTCTTGGACTGCAAAGTTACTATCGTAAGCTGCAAATTGCTGATCACATTCTTCAAACCTTTGACTTGTATCCGAAATTTGTTTTGTTTGTGGAACATATATGCCAGGAGGCAGACCAATTGTAAATCCAAGAGATTTAAATTCATCAGGCCCAACATCCCAGCCACCTCTAAGACGCTGATGGCGACGCGCTTCTGGATTCATTGGAAACTAAATAACAAAAACCGAATTTAATTCATAATATAAAATAAACACTCTTCAATCTATTACATAATCTCAACCAAAAGGCTTCCAATTTAGAAAAATTTATATAAAAAATTCGACACTTTTTATGGGTGAGCGAAAACCATCTTGCCATTATATCGCTCCAGATTTCGATCCGAGCCAAACTGGTCGTCGTTGTAAGCCCCAAAATGGCCAACATACAATTCGCTTTATGCTTCCTATGGCTATTAAATGTACAAACTGTGGTGAATATATGCATGCAGGAACCAAAGCAAATGCAAGAAAAGAACTTTGCTATACCGATGCATATCTCGGAGAAATCAATGTTTATAGAATTTATATTCATTGTAAGGCATGCTACGCAGAAATCACAATTAAAACTGATCCAGAACATTGCGATTATATTGTAGAAAAAGGAGCAACAAGACACTTTGAACCATGGCGCGATCATTATATTTCAATCGCTATGGAAGAAAAGAATAAATTAAAAGGGAGTATTATAGAACAAGCTGAAGCAAAAACAGTCGATATGAAAAAAGAAATGGAACATATACATGAATTAGAAAGATTACGAGCAAAAAGTCAAAAGATTGATAAAATGAATTTAGAATCAGTACAATATGATGAAAATGAGAAAAAACAAATACTTACTGAACTCGATAGACAACGTATAGATTTATTTGAACTGAAAAAACAAGAAGAATTACATCTTTTGGATAAACAAGAATTGGCTAATCAAGTGTACATGTCTCCTCAACCAACTATCAATACATTTAAATCTAAAAAGGTTAATATGTTCGATAATGCAGCTGCGGAAGATTTTGGATTTTAATATTAGTTTTTTATGTTAGTAAAATATATGTTTATGTGATCCTCAAGTATGATTTTTGTGATATTTTACACATAATTAAGAATTATATTTTTATAAAATATATTTTCATTTAATTTTTCTTTGAAATAGACTGAATCATTAATAAATTGAATTACATTAGGTTCATAGTTTATAATTATTTAAACTTTAAATCATATTTATATAATATTTTATGAGGAATGTTACATTAATTTCCTTACTTTCAATTAATTCATTATATCATTCACCATTCATTACGAAATCACCTAATTCAATGAAATCTATATTAACAATATGCAATTCCAGATTTATTAAACAATTTTCAAATATATATCGATCAGAAAAAGCAAAAGAATCTTTAAATCTCTTAAAATCAGATTTCAAGCAGACATTACAACCTGTTATACATATTTCTCAGTCAGAATTCGAAGATGATTTGGATGAAGGATCATCATTTCAAACAGAAAACATTAAACTTGCTGGATTTAAGCAAACATTAATTATGCATAAAAGAAATCTCGATATTGATCAATGCTCTTTCACAGGTTGCATGGGAAAAATGGGAGGAGCTATTCATATTGAAAAAAGTCATTCAATACAGATCTCTAGGGCCTCATTCGAAGGTAACTCTGCAGATGTAGGCGGAGCTGGACATTTTTTAGGAATAATATCATTTAAACTAAAAGATTCTAAATTTAATACTAATTATGCAAAGTATTATGGAGCTTTAATGGTTGATGGTAAGGAGAAACCTGTTAACTTTTCTATATCTGTTGTAAATTTTACAAATAATCGCGCGGAGCTTTGGGGAGCTGCTTTAAGACTAGACAGATGTGGTGGTGATATTAGATGCACATACTTTGTTAAGAATATTGCACTAGTTTCTGGTGCTTTCTTTGATTTTTCTTGTAAACCAAACACAAGGTCAATTACTCGATGTTGTTTCCTATCGAATAACTGCACGTCTCGAGCAGCTGTAACATGCTTCCATTTATTACAAGAGTCAACATATACAAAATGCATATTTGCGAAGAATTATTGCGAAAAGAAACCAAATTCGATCGAAATACAATCTATCAACACAAAAATTACATTGCAGAATTGCGTGTTTGAAGGTACTAAAGAAACTGAAATCGGAATGAAGTTTAATTATTCAGAATTTATTGTTCAAGATTCTGAATTTGGCACTGTAATACAGGACTATAGTAAGTTCCTCGGTAATCTATATTGGGTATAATCTTGTTTATCATTTTTTGTTTGTTTTTGTTTATTTAAAAAAAATTATTTGTATTCTTTCTTAGATAAGACTACAAATAGACAATTTTATTTTAAGTTAAGCACAAAATATTTTATTTCTATAAAAACATAATACGGTTGGAAAAATCTTATATTTTCTTATTACTTGGTTTGATGATATGAAGAACTAATCCTTTGAAAAATCATCACTTTATTATGCAATTAACTAAATGTTTCTGATAATTTTGCCTTGATAAATTCATAACAGAATAATATATGAATAATTTAAGATATAACATGTTTTCAAGCTATACATTAACTTGTGTATGCAAATTTCAGATTGAGATAGATCGCATTTCTTGATAAATCCTTATTCTAATTAGAATTTGTAAATTTTAACTAGTTGGATGGTAGAATTCAGGGGCTGTAGTTATGCTAACTTGAAATGATGCTGTCATAGCATGGAATTTGCAAAATTTCTATTGTGAATAACGAAATTTTAGACTTTGTAAACACTTTTTATAACAACCGTTTTTTGTAAAAATATAAAATTTTTTTTGGCGATGTCTGGAAAAGACTTAGAAAACATGAGTGTCGACGATGTCGCTAAAATGATAAAAGATGCAGGCTTTGGAGATGCTAATGCTCAATTTTTCAAGGATGCTGAAATCTCTGGACCAACATTAGCATTTATAACGGAAGAACATCTTAAAGAAATCGGTATTAAAGCCATCGGACCACGTCTCTTAATACTTAGACACATTAAGAAGATGACAGGGCGTCTTAATCCACGTCCTTCTCCCCAAGAAGCACCTCCATCAAGATTACCTCCCCCACAGCCAGTTCAATTCCAGTCACCACATCAGGAGAAGCCTAGAGCAAACATGAACCAGACAATGACTCAATCAATGCCCGTCAAAAAGACATCAGAAGCAAGTCGCCCACAGACAGCAAATCCACCAGGAGAAAAGCCTAAATTCGTACAAGACCATGAAAAGATGGTTGCTTCTATCAGAGCAGCTCGTAAATACATGAAATACCAGAAAGACCTTGAAGAAGGTAAAGCTGTTGGCCCACCACCAGAGCTTCCACCTATCGAAGAGCCTCCAGATCTTGTTCAATGCCCAACATGCGGAAGAAAGATGAGCGAAGAGGCAGCTCGTCATCACTTCCCAGTTTGTGCTCGTATGAACCAGGGAAGAATGAATACAAGCAAATACAGCAGAAAATAATACAATTTGTAGTTCTTAATCTTAATTTCATGAATAAAATTAGTTAATATGAATATGTTTTCTTACAAACATTGTATAATTGAACACTAATATTTTAAATCAATATATCTATTGCTGTTGATATTCGGAGATTTAGAAAATGAAAATATACATCATTTTTTGCTTGATATTTGAAATCTATAAGGTAAATATATATTTTCCTGATATCATTAGAAAAGTAATTTATGTATTTTTGCTAATTGAATATAAACAGATTATATTTTCTATCCTTTATTTTAAAATAACATCTTTTCTTATTAAGATGCAATCTTTCAGTATATATAAACATATATAGGATTGCAAAGAGGTATTTGTATATACTGCACCCACATTGAATGACCATATGGAGTTTTAACATCATGGAAAATTTATATTTAGAAAATAATGACATAAATGCATAATAAAATAATTTTTAGATATATTAAGAATATGACGGGGCAAATTAATACACGTACTTCTTCAGAAGATAACATCAAGATATTGATCTATGGCTAATAAGTACGTAGCTATTTAGTTTAACGTGCTCCTGCCTTAATAAGAAGATTCACAATCTTTCTGTAGTTCCCATTTACGTTTTGTTTTGCTTTTGCTAAATCAAGTGGAGTTTTCCCGCCATTGTTTTTATCATTAAGATTGGCCCGAATTGAAACTAAATATTCAACGACATCAAAATTTCCTCTTTGTGATGCCCAATGAAGTGCCGAATCATTATTATCTGTTTTATCATTTTTATTGCACCCACAATGAATGAGGTATTTAACTACTTCAAGATGATCCATTGTTGATGCCATAATTATTGGAGACCATCCATTACTATATTTTACATCTGGGTTAGCTCCAACTGAAATTAGATATTTAACTACTTCAAGATGACCATTTTCTGATGCAATAGTTAATGGAGTAAATCCAGCATCTCTTTTTGAATTTGGATTAGCTCCAATTGATATAAGATATTTAACTATTTCAAGATGACCTTCTTGCGATGCAGCGTATATTGCATCAGCTCCATCAGTTTTTTTTCGATAATTCTTGTCAAATCCAAGTCCAATTAAATATTTTACAATTTCAAGATGTCCATGATATGAAGCTAAAAGTAAACAATTGCTTCCCATTTTGTTAACTGCATTTTTATCACAACCTCCTTCAATAAGAGATTTTGTTAATTGAAAATCTCCTCTATAACATGCCTCAAGAAGTGGAGTATCTCCATCTGAATCTCTTTTTTCACTTAAACCAGCTGCACATGAGAGAGTCATTTTCAGTCTATCTCATTTATTAGAAATACATTTAAGGAAATCGTAAACTCTATCAAAATCAGAAGATATTAATTGAATAATTTTTGCGAAATCATCGATTGATCGTTGTAATTGGTCATTTTTGTTGTTAAGTGTTGAGATTTCTTTTTTAAGTTGATCATTGTCTTTTTTCAAGTTTGAAATTTCATCTTTAAATGTATTATTTTGTTCTTTATATGTATTAATTTCTTCTTTGTATTTATTAGTTTCGTTTTCTAAACTCACAATCTGTGCTTTGAGGTTTTGAATTTCGGTGTGTAAATTTGAAACTTCTTGAGAGTTTGTATTATAATCTGCCTTGTATTTCTCTAAGTAATTGATCAAGTTACCAGACGATTTAAGTTTAAGATTCCTTTTGTAACTTTTGAGAACGTTAATAACATCTTCGAATGAATTTACTGAAATACTGCACTTTCGGACAAAGCCATACATCTTGGCTGCGTTGTACTTTGCTTTACCTTGGGAAAGAAGAGTTTTGAAGGCGCTTGAGTTTAGATTTGTTTTCTCTAACACTTTTGGGATATCTTCTTTTTCAAGAATATCAAAAAAGTTTTCTTGATCGATATATGATTGTATATTGTTCGCAATATAATCAAAATCGACAGTAAGACCTCCGCTCATCAGAAAAATCTAAAAGTTCGTTACTTATTGAGAAATTATTGTCATTATATCGAAAATGCAAAATATGTTGTTTATTTGAGTTTTTGTTGGGCGGTTATTCTCAGAATAAGGAGACATTTTTTTTACAAAGGAAATAATCACATGGGAATGAGCTTTTTTTGTTGAATAACCCGAATTCTTTTTACTTTAACCAACATATTATGTTGAATCATTATGAAAAATAATCAGGTATACATTATCATCAAAATTAGACAGACATGCATATATATCAAGAAAAGCTACATGTTAGAATTGCCATATCATGTAAATTTTGTTATTTGATTGAAATCTTAAATGACATATGAAAACCATTCAGTGATCTAATATACATATAATATGTTTTAATTATCAAGATAATCTATCTAAAAAAGAACAACAAAGATCATACAAGTTTAAAAAAAAGCTGCGAGACAATTGAGAGGAAGTATTCAAAATATTCTATGAGATTCTCACAATTTCATATCACATGGTACTTACGCCTTTTGTCCCAGGTATAAAAATTCAATATATAACATAAGATTAGTAAGTAGATAGATATTATCAGAAAATTTAAATCCTCTGTTCAGGATTAGATTATCTGATATTTGATAATCAAGTAAACAGACGCTTTACCTATGGAAATAGTATCACAGTATCCCCATAGTTACAAAACAAAATAGAATCAATAATAATGAATTTCAAATTCATTATGAAAATTTAACTACGTTAGTGATCGCATCTTTGTACTGGTAATGGCTCATAATTTATGTAGCCATTTGAGGTATTAGATAGAAACGAGTAACCCGAAAGGAAGATTTTTTTATGAAAAGTATCAAGTATATTTCGTTGAACGACCAGCACTTTATAGTATGGTGAGTCTGTAATTTTATAGTTACAATTTGCTTGTGTGGATATTTTGAGTATTTCTGAAAATTTAAAAGTTATTAAATGAATTTTCACTAAAAATTATTTCAGTTTATGATATTTCTTTTAATTTGATGGTAACAAAGCTCGTGTAACATGGATAATAGCCGATGGAGTGTAAATTTGAAATTAGATTTTATCTTAATTGCATGAAATTTAAACATGGATCATGCAGAGGTTTACTATACTTGCGGAACTATATGGGCGGCAAGAATTGCAAAGCCGAGCATATTGTTGCCAATAAGGCATTAAAAAATGATGTAAACTATTCAAAATTGTATACTTACGCCTTTTGTCTCGCAGTTTATAATAAAAATATTTTTATTGATAATTACAGTTTGGATATTTCTTGCTTAAGTTTTGCATGGAAAGGAGAATTAGATGCACTGATTTCAGCAGCTTTTGATAAGTTATCCAGCAGTTCTCTATCCTTGAATTTCATAACAATTGTCATTGTTATTGCGAACAATCCTTCGAATGTTTCATCACCTCTGCATTTCAATCTCCAAGGAAGGTGAATTACCTTCTCTGTGTGCAATACATCGAAGAAAACATCCAAAAACATAGGATTGATGTTTTGTTTAATTTGAACTAATGAGTTAAGAGTTGCTCTCATGTTTAATATATCATTTGTCTGTCGGAAATGTGTTGACATTTCTCTTCCCAAGAAAACTAATAAAGAATTTGGAGGTTTCTTGTCAATCCACAGTTTGCAAATCAACAACAAAAGAGAGGAAACCCATTCATCACGAGATCTTTCATCTAATTCTGAACCAATAACTTGATCTGACATAAACAACTTGTCAATATTTTCTCCTCCAAACTCAATAATGAATGAGAGAATCTTGACAATGTGACTCTTTCCTTTCTTCATGTCTTGAGAAGATGCCATTCTGAAGAAAGACTCAACGATCTTGTTGTTCTTCAACATGATGTCGTAGACTTGATGTGTTGCATTGTACATCATGTTTTCAACAAACAAAAGACTTTCATCGAAATAATCAACATTTGGATCTAATTTAGTGATTCCTTCGATCAAATACTTAATTGATTCTGTCTTTCCTAGTAAATACATACTGTTTGCTGTGACAACATCTTTCTTGAACATTGTTAAGATCTCATACAACTGGTTTGTTGTTACTTTCTCTTTGAACAAACCATTGCAAACAATCTTATATAATCTTGTGCTGTTTGCATATCTCTTTGTGCATTCTTTGCAGAAATCAATAAATGATTTATTGTATTTCTGCCTGAAAATGAGTTCAACCAACAAATTACTGTTGTTTTCTGGCATCAATTGGTCGACTGAAATTCTTGTCTTTTGGATACACATTTCCAAGAGTTTCAAGTAACTGTTGATCGCGTAATCTCTGTGTGAACATTTAATGTCAATGACATCAAACGCTTTTCGTGAGAATTCGATGACTCTTTCAATCTCATTTTTTTCGATTTTGCTGTTGTTTGTCATACACATTGATGTTGCAAGTTCAACCATACAAACAGTGTGTGCATCGAATTTTCCGCCGACTTTTACGACTTTTTCTAAATTGGAAACAACGATTTCGACGTCTTGTTGTGTTATTTCGATTTCACTGTTTTCTTCGCTATTAATTTCATCAGTTAAATATCTCAGTAACTGGAAACCATTGAAGTTATCGAATGAGCCAGCAGCAGACAATTGATTTGTTTTATAGAAGTTTCTTGAATAAATTGGTATGTAATTGATTTCTCTGAAGAATGGTCCAAAGAATTGTTTGTTCTGTTTATTCTTTCTTCTGTTAACTTTAATGGAATTAATTGCTTCTTGTACAACAATTTGATTCTTAGCGAAAAGCAATGCACCCATCAATTCATAGTTCTTCAATGTGAATGAAGACAAATCATCAACAGTTGACAAACATCTTGCCATCCTTGAATATGACTCTGGAGAACAAAGAGGTCCTGATTCAAGCCATGCTCTTGGACACATGAAATCAGTTTTCGCAATTAAGTCAATAACAAGTTCTTCACTGATACTGTTAACACCGATATCAATGAACTTCTCGACATTGTCAATCTTCAGTTTAACAATCATGTTGATGATCGCGTCACCGATTTTCTCTGAAGAAATGACCCATTTCATGAAATCTTTAGTTAAATATGCCTTAGGAACTTTCAGATTGACAAGAGTATTAATTAAATGACTGAAGTCAGATAATCTCTTGAATCTTTCAGCACTACATTGGTTCTGTTTGTTGTTAACAAATGTTGGAACTTCTTCTGTGACGAATTTGATCAAGAACTGATCTGCATCAATTGATAACAAGAACTGGCAATTTTCACGAGAAATTTCAGTGAAAACTTCTAAAACAGAGAAGATATCGAATGAATTTCTCCAGTTTTGGAGGATTTCCATCTCCCATTCGTAAATAAATGTGAAAATAGTGATCATCAAATCATTCTCAGAACCCATTCTTGTAAATATTTGTTTCATGAATTGAGTGAAAATGTTTCTTATTTCTTTGTTTGTAGAATAAACAAGAATGTATTTGATTATTGCCAATTCATTTTGAATTACTTCTAAACTGTCATTGAACAAATGATTCTCATCAAATTTCTCCAAAATCTTTTGCGAAAGTTTTGCAAATGATTCATTATCATCAGAATGACTCAAAACTTTCATGAAGTAGTTAATAACAATTTGGTTACATTCTTTGTAATCAACGAGATGACAAATGAAATCTACAAATTGTTTGGAGTAATAAACTTTGTCAATAATCAATCTGTCGTTTTCTATCTTGATTTGATTAATGATTTCTTCGTCAACTTTTATTTCCATTCCGAAATCTTCTTTGTAATCATTGTTCTTGTAGAAAAGCAAATATGCGGATGTTCCGTATTCTCCAACACCTGAATTTGCACTTTTTGCTTCTTCAAGAAAAACGAATTTAGTGCTTTGGTCGTTGAAATTCATCCATTTTTCGCCTTTCAAATAAGAAATGTAATGACCAACTTCTGCATCACCTTGATGAACAACTGTTCCGATCAATGACAACTTCTTTCCATTGATTTCGAATTCGTCTGGGACTTCGAAAATGGAATCAATCTTTGTTCTCATTCCTGTTTCGACACTGTAATCGAATCTCTTTAGTTGGATGATTAAAATTGGAGGCAATTTCTCAATTGTTGTGTATCTTTGGATATTGAATTTTTCTGGATACTTTTCATCTCTGTAATCTTCGATTGTTTCTGGAGTGCAGAAAAGTTTCAAAGAATCATCAATGTTAGTGATGTCTTTAATAGGTATTGATAAACTAGGGAATGATTCAGATCTCTCGGAATGGAAATCATTAGTCAATCCAATGAAATGTTCAATTGTTAATCCAGTAAAAAGTGACATAATTGGATAATTTTCCAATTTTGAGAACAATTGCAATAAGAAATCATGACAATCTTGTTGTTGTCTTACGTTTACTGGTTGTCCATCGTAATCTTTCCAACGAGAAGTGAACTCTTTCATGTCGACATAATGAGAATCACTGTACATTAGTTTGGTAAACAAAATATGTAAATAATTCAACCCTTCGTCATCAAATTTTGTTGAAATGATGAAGTTCCTGAATGGTTCGATAGAAAACAAAATTTGAATCAAAGAATTGATGTAACATGTTGCACCTAAATTATTCAAACCGCATCTGTTAGTAGCAATAGATTTCATCTCGTTGCTCGGTGTGTATCCCCATGGAGAATTCATTGGCAATGTTTGGAAAATGCTGTTTATCGTGTTTTGTTTGAATTCTTCTGATCTTTTCATCATAGAAAGAATAAACTGGAATGGAGCAAAATTGACATTGACATTCTTGTTCTTGCAAAGAATGTAATCGTTCATAATTCGCTCTGAATAAATAGAAATAGGAAATTCATTCCAGCGGTCACATAAATCTGCTAAAACCGTCAAAACTTCTGAATTTTTGATGTCACAATTTCTGAGAATTTGTTCTAATTGGCCGGCCATTTCCAAAGGAACAGAAATCTCTGTGAAAATGTAGACATGTTCTGCATAATTCTGTAAACTATTGAAGATAGTCCAGATCTTTGAAAAGTTCTGATTTTTGATCAATTTAGTTTTGAGAAGTTTTTCAACGAAATTTCTTCTTTCGTCGAATAATAAAACTTTCAAGTCGTTTTCTTCTAAATCAACTTGCAAGTTCTCAACTAATTTGATAAGCATATCAGATAACTTAACAAAGTATTCATCATTTGGTAATTGTACTAATTTGAGAAGGCTGCCGATCATCTTTTCAGAGGGTTCAGAAATTAAAAACAATGAAATTAATTTTGATTCTGGCAAAAGTAGCTCGAAATTATTTTCGAATATTTCTTTGACGCCTGGAATCAATGCCTGGTTCTTCTCCTTTTCGCAGTAAATGTATTGCAACTGATAGAGATAACGATAGGGCTCTGAATATTTAAGGTTATCAATTTTATAATTAGTTGGAGTTGGCAATTGTTGTAAAACATTGAAACACTGGAGAGAAAGGTTTTCCTCACTCAAGAACTGGAACAACTCATTGACATGGTCTTTGAGGATAGTTATTGGATGATTTTTCAGTGTGAAATGAACTCCTTTGTCGTATTCATTCTTAATTCTGATTTCGATTTCAGGAGGTGTCAAATCTCTGACAAAACCGTCTTTTACAACTGATTTATTGTGGTAAATAACAATAGACTGCTCATCAACATCCAATGATTTGGCGGCTAATGGTTTGATAGTCCTGACACTTTCGTTCTTCAAACAATTAATTGTAAAGTTCTTAATTTGATATGTCACTTTTATGGTAATTAGTTCATTGTCAAAAGAAACTTTATGTGGCTTGTAGTTCAAAGATAAAGGTGAAATATACTCATTGCAAAGGTTCAAACAGTCACTTAAAAGTTTCAATGCAGTGTCACTTTTTGTTTGTAAAACGGAAATTGCTTTGTTTGTTATTTCCATGACTTTTGATGGAAGATTATGAGGTTCTTTAACTTCCAACAACAATTTCATGGACTGCTCATCATTCTTCAGACAGTTTTGCCATATTTTTTCGTATGCGGCGTTGAAAACAGTTGTTATCAATATAGGATTTGCATTTGAATATTGCAAATTGATGTAACAATGTCTGAGGATTTCGATATCTTCTGTTTGGTTTATAATACGTAATAATGGATCAATGGAGTCTTGATCGACCAAAGATAAACCGATATCTGGCAAAATTTGTTTGAAAAACTTTGTTTGACTTTCTTTTGTCAGTTTTTCAAAAATTTTTGATAATTGGCCGGCCGAAAAATGTGATTTCGATCTAGACATGATAGATACTAATGTCATGATCATGGATTCCAAGTTTTCGTGTTCTATAACTTGATCTACAAGTGTAGATGGATTAAAAACGGTTTTTGTATTTGACAAAATTTTGTCAATTAAAGTGACACTTTTTTCTGTAAAATTCTTTTCAGAACTCAGTTCAACAGCCTTTGGAATTAAGTCTCCTAAGTCTGCTCTCGAAGCTGTTTTCGTTAAAGTCTCGAAAACTTCACTGTTGTCTCTGATATTCGACCACAACATTATAGAAACGACTCTGGCGTACTGGTGACCTTCCAAGAGTCTTCCGAGGATGTTAGGAGACAAATCTTGGAACTCTAAGATTATGTCTGGGTTCTGAAGGTTCAATGCGATATCTGCAAAAATAATTTCGCATTTGTTGAGGATGGAAGCGTGTTGGGACTTTACAGACTCGTACAATGATTTGATTAGAACAGGAGAAAGATGGTTATGCTTGGCAAAATTGATGAAAATCGGCTTGATTACTTCAAATTGCTCAATTGAATTGGCGTTCTTGGAAACAGCTGCGAGCAAGTTTGTCTGGCTGCCTGTAAGAGGTGTGATACCTGTAATTGCTTTTGTAAAGATGATTTGGGAAAGTCTGAATCCTGACATCTTGACTTCTACAATATCTGAGGTAATAAAGCGGTTAACAACATTGCAAGCGCAATCAACAATAAGTGGATGGTTGACACATTCAAAAATGTATTCGTATATTTGTATAATTTGCTTATGATGTAAATTTCTGTCGTTTTGCTCAGAAAGTATATTTGTTATGGCTTGATTTATTGATTGTACTTGATTATCGATCTTGTTGAAGATAGCATTTGTTCCTAAAAGCATGCATAATCGGCGAATTACATCAAAAACGGAAACAAGCTCATCTATTGATAAATCTTTGCCCATTGCAGAAAATAGCATAACATGAATATACTTCTGTTTAGCATTGTTAGCAAAATCTGTCATATAAGAAGAATATGGCAAATTTTGTTTTCTTCCGTTGTAAATGTAAATAGGCATCGAAGGATCGAATATTTGAGATAAGTACTTTAGTAAAGTGTATTTCTTTTTGATGGTAAAGCTCCACATAATTATACCAATTGCTGTCTTAATAAATGCAAGAATTGCCATTTCATCTGTTGTAGTAACGCTCTCTAACTGAAGAACTTTAGTTAATATTGGAGGGAACGATTCGTACACAAGGATTTCAGTCAAATCTTGGTATGGTTCTGGCAAACCTTTCATTTTTGCCTGTTCCAAGAATGAAGAGAGCTTGTTTAACTGTGCGGCATATCCAGTTCCTTCATCTAGTGAGATTGTAAGGACTGCACACAGTGTATCTGGATCATAATCTTGCATTTTATAAAAATTAACTTTTTTTTTGTTCTAAAAAAATTTGACATCCGAACAATCAACAGTTGACTTAAAGTATAGATTTAAAACTAGTTAAGAATCAAAATGATTCAGGCAAAATTTAAGATGTGGTGGAAATATTTTTGTACGATTATTTTCCTTTCAATTTATATCCAAGCATCGAACCAAGTAAGCAATCTATTTGATATTAGGCCGAACCATAGAAAGGAAATAATATATTGCTTGAGTACTGGAGGTTGCGGTCATTGAAGTTAAAATTATATTCAATATTGAATTGTTCCTAATTGAATCATCTTTTGATGTGGAATAATAACTTGTGTTCAATACCATCATTTTCATATACTATTTATTGACCCTATTCTTCAAGATTTTGTGAATTTATGTAAAAAGTAACGTACAATTTTAGAAATGAAAGTTACATCTTCTTCCGCTGGCTCTTCAGCGAGTTTTTTATTATCTGGACGTGACGACTCTACCAGATCAGAGTTAGATCGTTTACGCCGAGAAGTAATGGAAAAGAAAGGACAAATTGACATTTTAGAACGAGAGGCATCAAAAGTGGATGAAATTCGCGATTTTCTTATTGGGTTAATAGAAGACTTTCAGAAGCTCGGCCAATATCAATTTTTCGATTCGAATGAAGATTTACAAAAATTACTTAAAAATCCTGTTAACGGCATTACATTACTTCGAAATGGCATCAATAATCTAATTACTAAACATCAAAATTTAAGTTCAAATTTCGAATTGCAAATGAAAAGAAACCTTTTTCCTTTAGAACAAGAGCTAGATCAAGCAAAAAAGATTAACGAAGATCAAAATAAAGGTTTTACTAGTGATTTGGAAGAAAGAACTCATAAACAAAATATAATTAAATATATTGAGGGCGAAAAAACAATATTCCACCGAACAATATTAATGAAAACAGCTGCTTACGATCGTCATCAAGAGAATGATAAAGGAACCATTATTTTAGTTCAAAATCAAATGCAACAAGTTCAAAATCAATTATCTGATGCTAAAAAAGAATTAGAGAATAAAGAAGCAGAATATAGATCATTAACATCTCGTGCACAAGATAGACAATCGTTTGAAGAAAAACAAAGACAAGATTATCAAGAATTATTAGCCCGCGTTGAGAAACTACGTAAAGATTACCAAGCAGAATCTCATAGTCATAACCAATGTCAAGCAGATCTTGACGCTGCTAAGAATGAATTACAACAATTAACTTTAATGGTTGGATCTTACCGCGACAACAGAAAAACTCAGCAGCTTCTTGGAGAAGAAGCAGAGAATAGGCGTATTCATTCTAACTTTGCTATCGAAAAAGTCGAAGCAGATAGAAAACAACAAAAAGAAGAAAAGAAAACTATTGAACTTGAAAAACAAGTTTCTGTTCTCCAACAAAACATTGCAAACTTGAACGAACAGATTGTAATTACTGAACAAAAGCTTCAGATGCAGATGATCAAGATTCCAGACTTTGCACAGTTACATCAAGCTCTTGATCGCTCACTTGCAATGTCTAAGAAGTTCAGAGACCAAGTCATGGAAACAAAGTACATGCTTGATGAAATTCGAGAGAAGAACAGAATTCTCGAACAGATGGAAATACACGACTCAAAAGTTAGAACGGCTCAGCTCAAAATACCACTTCCTATTGATGTGACACAGCCAAAGAAGTCTGATGATGACATTAAAAAGGCACAGGAGATGTCTCCAAAAGAATTAGATGAATCTGTGAAAATTATTCTTCAGAATTATGATAATTTGTAAATTTATATTTTTGTTTGTTTGTAAATATATATGTATATAATATCTGTCTCTATCTTTCATCATTCTTCGGCACTGTAAAATTAAGTTTAAACGGTTTTCTGATGTCTCTAAAGGATAATAGTTATTAGGCCACATAATATATTAAATATATTGTCTTGAATGGATCTAACAATATTTAAATCATACAGAGAATAATGGAAGTATTATTTGTTGTATACGATGCGCAATGCAATAGCACCGATTTGAAGAAACCTCAAATATTAGATAAGATTCTTCACGTATTGTTCTTTTTGGAACTTTGCATTCAAAACTTATTTTATCTTTATGAGAACAAATGGTATATCATTTATAACATTGTATCATCAACTCAACAATATAGTAAGTAATGGCTATAAGTAGGAATTACCTCGATAAGTCTCATGAATGAAATTATTTAAAAATATTTGATATGAAATTTAAATATTTCGTATTTTTTATTAAATAAACAATTTATTCTATGCAATGTAGTAACTATTAAAATGTGATTAATCTTTCTTGGATTTTCTTGATTGTGGAGTGTATTTACGAGTATATCCTAAAATGATGCGTATAATTGCGTTGATTACGTAAAAAGCAGTAATTAATACCATTGATGGTGTGCCAAAAGCCAATATAATAGAAATTTGGAAAGGAATTGAGAGCAAGGACAATTTTGTGAAAGAATAAAATGTTTTATAGTTAACGAATCCTCTAATAAAACCAACAATTAGGCATACTACGTATATTATAATTGATAGATAGAAAATAACTACTGAAGAAAACTCTGTCAGCCAAAATCCGAAATCATAAGAAGGTTGTGATACAGCTGCAACTACGAAAAAGATATTTTCGGATATAAATGGGAGTAAAAGAATTGTTGTTATCAATAAATTTCCTTTGTTAGCAGAATAACGTCGAACTTTTGCCCAAGCGATAACCCACATTAAAGTAGTGATTACAAAGAACACTGGCGTGATTATATAAAAAGCTGAATCAAAATTGAAGAAGGCTGCCTCAAAAAATCCCATTTTATAAAAATAAAAAAGTGACAAATTTAATCATTTTATTGTTATTTTTCCATTTTATTGTTTGAACTGTGACAATATATCTTTGATTCAGAATTGTGTCAATAAATCATCTATTTATTAGAACACACTCAACAATATACTTTAATTTTCTTGTGTTGAATATAATTTTTGATGAAATTGGATAAGCAAATGCATGTTAATATTTACTAGATTGATTGTTGAATTAATAGCCGTTTGCTCATAAATTAGCCCGAAGCATCCTTAGTAGTAGGATAGGAAGGGTTGTGTGAGAGAGGGTCAAAGTTGCTATTTGTCACTTTTCCACAAGAATATAATGGGGAAAAAGTTATCATATAGTTGATCTCATTCACTGAGGTGAGAGATGCATGTAGTGTAATGTTATAAACAGTGGGATTGCTGCTCTAAGTCCTAGGTTCGAGACACACTGGCTTCATTTTTCTCTTTTTTATTGACGTAAACTATTCAATTTTTGTGTTCTCCATTCAAATTTCAGAATTTTTTTTGCAGATTTCACGCTACATTCGAAGTTACCTTTTGTAACAACCACCACTGCCTACGAAAGACGAAAGTGTGTCACGATTTCACCCGGAAATCCGACGGTTGTTTAAGAGTATGCACTTTTGTCACCTACTCAGGGTTGTGTGACTTTTTTTGTAAACGTAAGAATTCATACAATATCGAGCGATTTTGTATCATTTTTTTAACATATGAAGTAAAAAATGTATGATTCTGACGGTTTTTATTCTTACGTTTTTGAATAAATCAAGATTTAAAAAATTTTCAAAATTGTAAGACATTTACACTCAACCCATACATAATGAAATAAAAAATAAACACATTAAAAATTAACATTAATTTTAAAATAATTTATTTTTTATCTTTTATAAAAGAAGCTATATATAGATGATGTCAGATATTCCGCGATTAATTAAACATTGTTTAAATCCTGAATGGAATCAATGGAGTCATAATCAAAGACCTCATAAACGAGTAAAAGAAATTAGAAATAATTATTTTCATGAATAAAAGATTCACTACCATAATGAAATAAAAAATAAAAAAATAAACTTTAAAAATTCAATGTCTCAGAATCAACATTGAACTTTAAGAAATTAATGATTATTTGAATTTATGATATCAATTATTTGATTTATTCTTTCTTCAATCTCTTCTATTCTTTTTGTTAAATCATCAATTTTCATTAATGAGGTGATTCTTGATTGAGGAATAGATTTCAAACTAACCACTCATTTTATTTTTGAAATTTTGAATCCATCAACTTTAAACATTTTATTCAATTTACACGTTGTCAATTCTTCAAATAATTTTTTATTGTTAGCATAATAGTCATTAAATTCTTCAACAGATGAAAAAATTTTTATTTCAGTAATTGGTTTAACAACGTTTATTTTTTGTTGAACATTTTCACTTTCATTTATTTCTTCCTTCTCTGTTTCATTTATTTTTAAAATCGGTTTCATTTATCATTAAATAAAAATTAGAATATAAGTGATGAAATATATTTTTTAATTAATATTAAATCAACTATGGTTGCAGGATTCTTTAAAAAATTATGGGATGGAATTAAGAAAGCTGCGGGTTGGGTTCATAAAAAGATTATTAAACCCATTGCAAACTTTTTGGCACCAGTAGCGAAAACGGCAGGAACTATCATAGGTGGAGTATTAGGTACTAAAGCAGGTAATCCGGCGATGGGAGCACAAGCAGGTAACGCAATTGGTGGAATAGCTGAAGGAATACTTAATAAAATAGGAGGTAGATAGTGGAAAAATAAATAAATATTATTTTTATCTTAGTATCGGTTGAAGTCTTTGATAAACTTTTTCTCCTTTATTTAATATTTCTCTTATTGGGGCAGCTTTTGGCGTTATTGATTCAGCAACGTCACTAATTGCTTCTTTATTCTTAAATATCCAATTTGCTCCTTTCTTCATTGTTTCCCAAACTTTATGCGCTCCTCTTTTTACTTTATCCCACAGTTTCTTAAATATACCCGCAGCCATAGTTGATTATTTCATTAAAATTAAAAATTCATTTTCATCTTTTAATTTTGATTTTTTATTTATTAATAAATGACGACTAACTATTTGGTGCCAAACACTAAACCGATTAATGGAAATGTGTTTCATTCATTCGAAAAGATAAATGAAATATTCGCAAAGAATGACGGTAGAAGATATTATAGAGAACTTGAAAGTTCATGCTATGACTCTGATGCTCCATATTTTGATGATAAACAAACTCATTTAAGAATTACAAATCCGGCTCATGATGTGAATCAATTAGGTGACACATATATTAAACGCAAAGTTAAAGCAACTCTAGTTTCAAATAAAGCTTTCACATGTGATGCCGCTTTTAAATGCATGCGTTTATTCGTTGGTTACAAATCATCAAATCAAAGCTTTAAACAATTAGAAGTAGAAACCGAAAGAGGTGATGCCGGTTATCTTCAGATGGATTGCGCCCGTGAATCTTTCGCATTTGCAACATATAAACCAAAATCAGAAAGGAAAGTTAAAAAGTTTGTTCATTCGTTATATAATAATGTTCAAAAATATGATAACTCAGTATGTGGTAAATATATTGACCCTTCAGAAGTTTTCAAGAAAGCAAATGAAGAAGTTGATGTCACTTTTGATATGATTATTCCGGTAAATGATTTGTTAGCATTTCAGGCGTTCGATGATTATCCTAAATCATTTGGTGAAATCATTCTTAAATATTATGTTTTCAGGGATACTTTAGTATTTTGTCAGGTTGACCCGTTAAGAGTTGCTGATTTACAAAATTACGTTTATGAAAAGATAACTGATGAAAATTATGAAAAGATTATGAATCATGTTTATAAATATGATCGCAAATTCCAACAAATCGGACTTCCTGCCAAATTAATTACAAGCTTAGCCGCTACATCTGCTGACGCAACAGTTGATAACGTTATTATTTCATGCACAAAGATGGAAGTTTTATAGGATAAATGCATTACACCAGGATACGGTTTAATTGAAGAATCAGTTAAAGCAATACCACGTTTATTCAGTAAGGAAGATCCATTCATGATTCCAGCTCAACATATTGACGTTCGTTCACTAAATGGAGGTTGCATCACTCCTGAAGGTATTAGTTCAGATTTCTCATACGCTCTTCATAATGTTACAGATGTTGTGTTAGCATTTCCGAAGAATGCAATGCAAAGAACAGTTTTAGAAAATCCAATGCTTCGAGGTCTTCAGGTCACTATAGATTCCAGAAACTTCCCCGATCAAGCGATGACCACAGTGGGTGACATATTCTTTACACGTATGCTTCAAGCTTCTGATTTAGATGGAGTGAATGAATGCACAGAAGAATATGAGGACTCATTAACTAGACCACTGAATGATGATAATGGCACGCCATTAGCTAGAACATGGGAAGACCAAACTTCATTCTTATGCACTATTCCAGTTCAACGTGATGGAGCGGGTATATTCTTTGATGGATTAGAAACTTTCAACTCACAAGTTACAGTACAAGTGAAAGCTTATCCAATCATTCAGGGTGTAAATGACACTTACTGTTCAAAGGTGACAAATCCTCCTCAGGTTTGGTTTACTAGGACTACATATTGGACATGGACACCGGATGAAGGTTTGAAATATCATCCAACAGGTACACCACCACAGTATAGAAGTTCATATGATGAAATATTGATGAATAGAAATGTTTAAAATTATAAATTTATTTTTGATTAAATGGATTTAAATTCATCCACCCCTTATGAAGAATTAGCAGGAGTATATAATACATACGTAGATGATATGATTAATGAAGCATTGAGTGATAATAGAAATGCTCTATCTAAGGAAAAATTAATGAAAATTCCATATTCTGAATGTTACTTAAATTCAATCACTGCAGCAATTGGTAAACAAAATAAAGGTAAAACATTAACGATATTAAAACAAATTATCATTATTGCTAACACTTCCCCCTATTCACATGTGTTAATTTATATCAACCGTTCAGGTTCACCTTCAGATGATACATTTGAATCTTTAAAGCATTTAATCAAAATTCCAATTATTTATTTATCACAAGAAGAAGCAGAAGATTATTTAAAAAACTTTTTAATGTATAAAGAATTATATAATACAATCAAGAAGCAAGGATTAGAGGATAAAATTATTGATAAACAACGGGATGAATTATTTGAAACACTTTCTATTTCAAATTTTGATAGAGAATTTTTGCATTCACTCATTTTTCTAGATGATGCAGTGAAATCAAAACTAATAACAAATGAGAAATCATATTTTAATCAGTTATTAACTCAATGTCGACACATTCAGTGTTCATTCTTCATGGCTGTTCAATACTTCAAAGCATTAAGCACAAACATTAAATCAAATCTATCAACCCTTTTCATTTTCAGTGGGTTTAGTCGTCAACAGTTGAACGTTATGCTTTATCAAGTGAATTTACCAATGAGCATTAATGAACTTTACACACAATATCAGCAATTAGGTGAACATGGAAAAATAATAGTTGATTTAAATAAAGGAGTGTTAAATTTGATTAACTTTTTATAATTAATTTTTATTTTTTATTTATAATTAAACATGACAGAAATAGCAAATCTTCTACAGGTTCCATTAAAACAAGGACAAACAAAAAGGGTGCATATAATAGAACTATGAAAGTTCCTGATGGAATGAAAGAATTAGTTCATATTGTTGCTGGTCTTCAAAAAGATGTTAAACAAATGAGAAACGTTTTAACATTACCAGAAGCTCAAGCATATGCCAAACGTCAAGGTCCAAATTGGGAAGCACACGAAGCAGACATTACGGGTCCAAATGGAAAACCTGATGGTATAAATGAAGTTTTCGTTACTGATGGTCAAGGTAATATTAAAGTCATAAATGGTTATAAATTAACTATAACTGATTATCCTAAACGTAAAGCATATAATGAACGTTATCCTATGCAATTTGATGAAAATGGAAAAGCTGTTAAACAATACATTGGAGAAGGTGAAAATGGTCCAATTAATTCATACCGTCATAATCCATATTCTTATTTCAATGAAGAATTAAATGCTATTGAAGAGGGACCGGATGGATTACCACGATATTCTAACCAGTTTGATGGTCAATATGCAAATATTAGACCTGAAATTTCAGCTAAGAAATTCTTTAAAGTTGCTTTATTCGATCCAGTTTTCGCAAATGTTAAAGATGAACTTAAACAGCAATTCCAACCAATTATAGTAGCAAGAATTGCATCAGGTGCTTTATCTCAAGCATTCAAAGATTTAATTAAGAAACCATTATATCAGCAACGAGGTTTAACTTATGATTTAGTTAAGGAATCAGATAAAAGAAAATTTGAGAAATCAGATGATTATAAGAATGCAATTAATGAATATATTCGGTCTATTAATTTCGATGAAACAGCTAAAAATCAACTTCATGAACAAATACAGGGAATAATAGATTCAAAAGTTCCAGCAAAATAAAAGTTTAAATATATTTTTTTATTCGAATATAAATGAGAAGACGTTTCACTAGTCAAAAGAACACTAACGCAAAAGCAGAGATTACGGTTGGTTATAACGTAAATGATGATAAATCACGAATTATTCAAAATGTTAAAGTTAATGTTAGCCCTGAATTAACAAGGTCAGCAACTCAACCAAATTTATTAACTCGTGACTTACCGAAGAATGAGGAGAATGAAGAAAACCATGAGAATGGAGACCCAATCATTTTATCTGAACCCGGTAAAGAACCTGTTGAAATTCCCACTTATCCAACATACCCCCCACCTCTTTCATCAAACATCGAGAACCCATATAAAATAGACATTAATTCTGAATTAATGAAAATTTACCGTGATATAATAATTAATAATTATGATTCAATAATAAATTTAATTGACCAATCCGGTTTAATTATTTTACCTTATGAATCATTAATTCACATTATCGCCATTCTTTGTGATGTTCAAGATTCAGACGTTAAGATTCAATTTTTCATAGATGATGAGGTTTCATGCTGCGGAACAGTTGCAAAAATAAATCCTATAAAGGATATTAGCACAATTAAGATATCAAAGAACGGAACAACAACTGAACTTCATTTAACATATAATGATATTTATAATAAAATAGTTGATGAATATAAAATATCACTTGAAAAATTCTTTGTTAAGGCTATTTAATATTCAAGCATTAACATTATCGAATAATAATCCTTTGAATCATAATCAATAATAATTGACCTTTCACCAGTTTCTATCGTTTGTTTTATTTCTTTTTGTTCCCCACTATCCGGATCGGTCATTGTAATTGTTTTTGTTATAGTATCAGCTTTATCTTTAACTTCAATCTTTTTTCCATCGGGATATTTAAACCAAAATTCCAAAAATTCGATATTGTCAATCTGTTCATATTTTAATCTATCAATTACATTTTTAATACCATCTGAAAATCTTATGAAATGGTCATTATATGGGTTTGATTGAACTAAATTTGAATGAAGTGAAATATAACCTGTTGATGAATATGACACTGACTCATATTTTCTGAAAACACTAAAATTTATAACATGAATGAATTTCTTATTCGTTGAATTTATGAATTCTTGAGGTAATCTTATTCTAGTTTTATTTATCACTGGAAAATAACGCTTTACCATATTTTTAATCGTAATAAAAAATGTCAATTATCAATATTATTTCGAATAATAACTGTGAATTAAATTTAACAGTTAGCGGAATTTATAATGTTACTCTCGTTTCTGTGAGTGGTAAATTTAATCCCATTCTTTTAGACCCTTCAGATTATATATCATTTATTAAAGATGACCTTGAAAAAACGTATGATATGTATATAAATAATGTGATAGCGAAATGGGATATTAACATGATTTTAAGTTATTTAAATGAATCATTTATCGTATGGTATGAAGAAAATTTTAAATCAAAACCTGATAAACTTTTTGAACTTGATGAAATAAATAACCTTATTAAATTCCGCTGAAAATTAAATTTTGTACTCCTCATCTTCGTTCATTGTTGGGGATATTAAATTTTGAAAAAGATGTTGGGGATGTTTTGTATTCTGACACTGGTTCCAATTTCATTTTAATCAAATGTGATAAAGTTAATACCCCAATGAGATTTTCACATCAAACATTAGACCCTAACTCTTACCCATCAATACAAAACATTTTATCCATCAACTTAAACATATTTTCTTTATCATATCCGTTTCAATTATCCGGGAATTCATTTATTCTTCATTCAAAAGATTTATCAAATATTAAATTTAGAATAACTGACCTATTTGATTGTGATTTAGAATTTATGAATGAAATATTATGGCAATTTCAAATAGAGAAATAGCTGATGAGATAACGGATTAAATATTTATTTTTAAATCATAATAAATGATTAAACAACAGCAACCACAAAACTTAAGGCACAAAACACCCAGGTCCTTCAGACCATTACATACGCCATATATGCATATAATTCAAAGACGGCAGAACAAACGCAAAGGTTGAAATATGGAGATTTGGAGATAGTATTGAAAAATGAACATTTCGAATTCGTTTGCAAAGGTGGTGCAGTGATATCAAATATAAAAGAAATTTTATTTATGAATTCAAAAATTAAAGGAATAACGGATGATATAACATCAATTCCACCAGAAGAACAGAGATATTACGCATTAAATGCATTTCCTAAAGTTTTGAAGATTGGAAGATTTAATTTAAATGAGGAATTCATAGAAGGTTTCCTAAACGACATAATGAAGAAGGTGGATAAGGAATACGTGGATAGTGAGTTAAATAAGAAGGCAAATTTGGTTTATGTTGATGAAAAAGATAATGAAATTAAAGAAAAGGTTGAATGGTATCATGAATGGACATTTGAGACTTTTAAAGTTAAAGCTGATACAGAATGGGTTTCAGGATGTTTAGAT